AGGACAGTCAAGAGGATCTAAGTTCGCACAATTCAGATAAGCATGAGGGAGTTGATATGGTAATTGAATCTAATTTGGGTCTTTTGTAATAATTGCATGGTTACACACACAGATTACTGATTATACATCTGTTCCAAGGCTAGTTAACTAATTTTAATAGATTAAAAAATTATTTAAGTTATTTATTTATAATAAAGAGATGTTGTCCTTTTTAAAATACTTTTGATAATCGTGTGTATTAGTTAGAATTGCCATTTGATAAAACATTTAACATGTACAATTATTATAATAACTACTCTGAGAAAAATAGATGAATATGAGACAAAAAATGGATTAGAGTTTTATATTTAAAATAAAATTAAATACTAAACTAACTCTAATATTAAAAATCAGATGTAGTATAAGCTAAACTTATACTTACTCTATTGGTGTATACTTTGATAATAGGTATCAAAATTAGATAAGATAGGGCCCAAACTTAAAAGTAGGCCCAAGCTATTGTTATGGACTAGAAAAGTAGGCTAAATTAAAAAACCCTATTGGGCTCGAGATTCTGCATCTCAAGGGAACCCATTAACATTTTTAAAAAAAAATTAGACACAGGTATTTTTTTATTTGAGGTAATCATGTTTGAAATATTACCGGGTATTAATTATAGATATATTTTCTAGCAAGCATTTGAACTTTGATTTATTATGTTATAGGAAACTAGCTCTTTTTATTTGACCTATTAACATATGTTTAGAAGGTTCCAGCAACTCCCTGGTAAAAAAAAAAAAAAGTTCGAGCAACACAGAATGGGCCTCTACTATCCTTAATATACTACGAAGAAAAAAAAAATTCTACTGAATAAGTTTTGCCCAGCAGGCAAAAAAAAAAAGATAGTGTATTACCAAGAATATATTTACCGTTTCAATAAATCAATGTGGAAAATTTCAAACTTGATATAAAAATTTATTTATCATATATGACATATTTTTAATCGTCATATGTATTTGAATAAGTGGAAACGGTAACAGACGACCTCAAAGATTTCAATATACCAAAAAAAAAAAAAAGATTTGAATATACTACCTCCGGTCCTTAATATAAGATTTCGTTTGATTTTTATTTTGGTCCTAAATATAAGACCCCAATCCACTTTGTCTTTCATATTTATATACTCCTCCGGTCCTTATTATAAGACCTAATTTGACTTTTTATTTGGTCCTAATTATAAGACCCAATCCATTTTCTCTTTTATATTTATGCATTTTTTTTCCAAGATAATTCTTCTAATAATGATAGTTTTAGCCAATATACTTAATTAGCAAGGATATTTTAGGAATAACAACACTTATTTATTATAAATAACCAACTTAACTTATTTCCTTAATCTCCTCAAATAAGTCAATTGGGTCTTATAATTAGGACCGGAGGAGTATTTTTTTCTAAGAAAGTCTTTCTCATAATAATAGTTTTAGTTAATATATTTGATTCGTAAGAATATTTTAGAAAAAAAAATACTTATTTATTACAAATAACTAACTTAACTTATCTCATTAATCTTCTCAAATTAGTCAACTAGTTTTTATAATTAGGATTGGATGTAGTATTACATATGAAAGGATAGTTTCATTAATAGTAGTGGCTATTAAGTCAGTACAGTCATTTATTTCATTTCATCCCTTCAAATTTCACTGTTATTTTCTTCCTTTTTTTTTCTTTTTAATCAATATTTTTAAATGCCCGTAAATCAAAGCATTGGAGATCGGATTATCGAGTCAATAAAGTATTCAAGAATATCATGGAACATAAATGAACGTTTGGAAACAGGCGTCAAGCTTGAGATCTTGTTTCATCTTTTCCTTTACCTTTTCTTTATTCTTTATCTTTCTTTTATTTTGCCATCTTACTTTGAAGATGTTCCTTTAAAACTTTATGCTTTAAACTTAATTATATTTTATATCTTCGAATTCTATCGATTATAATTGTTTAAGTTTAGTATTTGAGATAATCTTTTGAATGAAAAGATCATAATATGTTATTGAATTCTTAGAGAAAGTTCGCTGCTTACTCAGAATGCAAAAAAAAGAAATAAAAAGATTAGTAATCAGTTCAATTAAATTTAAATTATATAGAAAACTTTAGACGTTTTTATGATTATTTTACTCATTAAAAAACTCATAAATGCATGCACCGACACATGTGTACAAAAGTCTTATATTTAAAATCGGAGGAATATTACGTAAATAAAACAGTATAAAATTTGCACAAAAGACAGTGTAAAATGTTAAAAGATTCAAAATTTATTACACACAATAGCGAAGGCATGCAGGCGTAGAAATGTCTTTTGTGTAGGCGTGTGTCTATGTATTTTTAATAAACAATGCCATTTCATTTTCCAGGAATTTCGCTCCCATCTTTTTGGTTCACAGTTAATTTAGTTAATGTAAAAATATATTGATTGTGATGGTAAACGTAAAAGTGAGCTGGCGGTATCAAATGAATAACAATTAGTGAATAAATTAATAAATTTGATGTCAAAATTTGAATTTTTTTAATTAAAAATTCAATTCAAATTTAAAACTGAGTTTTTAAAGTTTAAGTGAAGAATAAGCGAGAAACGGATCCCCTTTGCTCACAGCAGCTTTATATAGCTCAGCATAAAGCACCAGATTTGTACAAAAAAATCTTTTAAAGAAAGAAGAATGAAACATCTGAAAATATGAAACAAGTATTCTTTGTTCCTTTGTTATTCACTTCACATAGAGGTTTTCCTATACAATTGAGGCCGATTTAGAATGATTTATAAGCGGTTTTTAATCGTAATTTATAAAATCCGAAATAAGTATATAAGTGGAATTTTGTCTCGACTTATCTGAAACGCATTCATAAGTGATTTCAATCGTGATTCCAAATAGAGTCTCAATTGACACTTAAAATATATGTCCTTGGTTTGCAGGAAAGACCTCTATAATATCAGTGATGAACATAGAGATGAGAATGAAATGCAAGTAATTGTGGAAAAATGATATTATGTATGCAAGTGAAAAAAAATATTTCAATAAGCAGTATTTGTGTGTGTATTACCTCATGTTTGTGAATATAAAGTTAGAAAATGGGTTCATTTTGGTCTTGCATATAAGAACTCAATATACTTTATTTCTCAAATTTATAATTTTTTTTAAAGTAATTCCTATAGTGATTGTACATATTAAATAATTTTTATCAAGTGGTAATTTAGATGTACATGATTGATAATGATGTTTTAAGAAAGATAATACTTAGTTATTATAAATAATTAACTTAATTAATTTTTTATTATCTTTAAATTAATTATCTAATTTTTATATTGAGAATATGAGATAGTTCTATATTTTAATTTAAAGAGAATGAAGATAAATGAATAGAAAAAGAGCATTTATGCTCCTAACGGTGGAGAGAATGAGATTGAGAATGAGTCCGGGGGTCATTTAGGGTTTTCACGTGGAATTCCATGCTTTTTCTGTGGCAATGGAATCATGTTGGGGCTGAATTGTTTTATTCCCGTTGGAATGGAATCAATAAAGGAATTCAATGCATCTTACCAAATTCAAAGTTTTTAAATGGATGACCAATTTGAAGAGTAGTGCAACTATTCTCTGGCTTAGTTTGAATTGAAACCAAAAAAAATTGAATTTTTCATAGAATTTATCGTAAAAATATTTGTGGAGATCAAAACTTCTGAAGTTACAAGTATTTTTCTTAGAATCATAAACAATTTGTTAAAATTAATTTTAATGAATTAAAGATCCTAATTTTTTCTTCTTTGTTTTTTCAACGTGCAAAGTATCTCTTTAATTAAAGCCTTAATGGGTGGTTGTGAATTCAAATCTTTCTAGGTGGGTTGTGATGTGTAAGTTCAATTTTTCATAAAAGGTAAGAGGCTGTGCATGCAAAAAAAAAAAAAAATCTCTGCAAGTGAAAATTTAGCTAAACAAACAATAAAAGATTAAGCAGGTTGGTTAAAGTTAAGTTACGTGAAAATTTAGATAAATAATCAGTAAAATATTTTCATGGAAATTACATAAGAAGGTCTATTGAGAGCAATACTTAAAATAGTTATTCATAACTTTCAAAAAAATTAATATAATTTTTAGTCTCTCAAATTTTTTTTTCATTTTAATTTTACTCCCTCAAATTTTAAATTATAAGTTTTTATCTGAATAAAATAATTTATTTTTTTATTAAATTATAGAAACGGATATTTTAAATAAAAAATTAATGATTTTATAATTTGGAAAAGGATGAGGTCAAAAAAACATAATTTGGAAAAAGAAACAATGGGAAATGAAAGAACGGAGGAGGGGGAAAGAAGAACGTGAGGAGGAAGTTACACGTCCTTTTACTTTTAACAAAAGCAGATTCTGCTCTGCTCTCTCTCTCTCTCTGGTTTGGTTCTTTCTCGGAAACCTCACTCTTCCAGTCTTCCTTCCCTCTCCCACTTCTTCCATTTGTACCTCCTTCTGTTTCCCACGTCACTCTCACATATGGGACCTGTTTGGAGGAGTTTTAAAAATTTTCTATAATCATATTTTATATAAATCAAAACAAAACTCTTTTTATATATTTATCTCGTATTTTATAAATTATTATTAAAAAAACTATTTATAAACTCCAAACTAGTTTATCATGTCCCCTTCATTGCCTTACCTTATCTCCCAACCTTCTAGTATTTTTCAAAATCATTACTTCTGAAGAAGACTACGTGTAATAAATTTAAATTCATCGTATGAATTGTTGGGAAAAAGTTCACGTTTTCAGCATGAAACTGCCGGGATCTTTCTCGGAAAGCCCCATTCAAATTTCAAGTTTATTCCTTTTTTTTTTAATTTAATTTGAAATACTCGTATCTTTATTTATTTCTTCAATTGAACCTTTTTCCACATATGGGCCATCGTGATTCTTGTTTCTTGACCCTTTTAACTTATTTTTCAAAATAATTTCTTAATTGATGATTCTCACATAAGGCATATAAAATATCAGACATAGAAGGCGGTGACTGGGCAATAGAGGTAGTGGAAGCAAAGCCAGCCATGATCATCATCAAGCTCGTCGTCACGCTGCTTTTGCTAGCGACAGTATTTGCAACTTCGGAAGGTACAAGCTTCATCTACAATGGCTTCCGCTCTGCTAATTTAGCCATTGACGGCGTTTCTTCCCTCCTCTCCGACGGCCTTCTCCGACTCACCAGCGGCACCAAGCAACAAAAAGGTCACGCCTTTTACTCTGAGCCTATAGCATTCGTCAAAAACTCGTCTTTCTCTACCTCTTTCGTTTTCGCCATTAGATCTGAATACCCGACTCTGAGTGGTCATGGAATAGCTTTCGTAATTTCTTCAACAAAGACACTCCCAGGTGCTCTGCCCAGTCAATTCCTTGGCCTCTTCAATGAAACTAACAATGGCCACCCCACAAACCATGTACTCGCAGTAGAACTCGACACCATTCAGAACAGCGAGTTCGAGGATATCAATGATAACCATGTCGGAATTGACATTAACGGCTTGAATTCAGTGAAATCTGCTCCTGCTGGATATTATGCTGATGGGTCTCAGTTTCAGAACTTGAGCCTTATCAGTGGCCTTCCAATGCAAGTGTGGCTGGACTATGATGGCGGCAAGAATCAAATTAGTGTCACCTTGGCTCCAATCAATGTTAAAAAACCAGAGACTCCATTGTTAACGTTGTCCCATGATCTTTCCCGCATTCTAAGGAGGTCTAGTTATGTCGGATTCTCATCTTCCACGGGTTCAATCTCAACTTCTCATTATATTCTTGGTTGGAGCTTTAAGCTTAATGGGAAGGCTGAAAACCTCGTAATCACTGAACTCCCAAAGCTTCCTCAACTAGCTGATGGTAAAAACGAGCAGTCTATGATTTTGCTAGTTGGAATGCCTTTGATTTCTGTCTGTTTAATTTTTCTGTTAAGTTTGTCTGTTGTTCATTTTATAAAGAGAAAAAAGAAGTTTTCTGAGATGCTTGAAGATTGGGAGCAAGACTACGGTCCTCACAGGTTCAAATACAAGGATCTCTACATTGCCACAAAGGGATTCAGAGAGGAATTGCTTCTGGGAAGTGGTGGTTTTGGTAGAGTCTACAAAGGGATAATGCCAATTTCAAAAATTGAGGTTGCTGTGAAAAGAGTATCCCATGAATCTCGACAAGGTATGAGGGAATTTGTGGCAGAAATTGTAAGTATTGGTCGTCTTCGTCATCGAAACCTTGTACCTCTTTTAGGGTATTGCAGGCGAAAAGGAGAACTTCTTTTAGTTTATGATTTCATGCCAAATGGAAGCTTGGATAAATACCTCTATAATCAACCTAGAGTGACATTGAACTGGACACAGAGATTTCGGATCATCAAAGGGATAGCTTCAGGATTATGCTATTTGCATGAGGAATGGGAGCAAGTGGTTGTTCACAGAGACATAAAAGCCAGCAACATTCTTCTAGATTCAGAATTAAATGGAAGGTTAGGGGATTTTGGTCTTGCAAGATTATGTGACCACGGCAGTGATCCTCAAACCACACACGTGGTCGGAACTCTTGGGTATCTTGCCCCAGAGCAAACCAGAATAAGGAAGGCCACGACAAGCTCAGATGTTTTTGCTTTTGGTGCTTTCACGCTTGAGGTCGTGTGTGGAAGAAGGCCTATAGAGCAAGGAGGAGGAAGCGACGGTGTCGTTTTGGTGGATTGGGTTTATGGTTTCTTCAGAAGGGGTGAAATTGTTGAGGCAAAGGATCAGAATTTACCTATGGGAAGAGAGTATAGGGAAGGGGAGGTGGAATTGGCCTTGAAACTTGGGCTTCTGTGTTCAAATTCTGAACCATTAAGGAGGCCTAACATGCGTCAAGTTGTGCAATATTTAAATGGGGATGTACCTTTGCCTGATTTGTCTTCATTAATATCATCATCATCATCTTCTGGGTTAACGTTTGGGCATCGTCAAGAGACTCATCATGATTCTGCCATGTCCTTCCCATCTTCTATAGACGGCTCATTTTCTCAGAGTTCGTCCATAGCTGAGTCTCTTTTATCCGGAGGTAGATGATTTTGGTCTTCCAAATGCGTATGATTATTGATTTGTGTATTGGTACTTCCTTTCACTTATTTTTTTCATTTTAATTTTCGATAGGATCTTGATTTTACTGTTTGGTTTTTGTATTCTATGGTTGTTGGAAAGGAAATACGATAGTTTACCAAAGTATTGATGCTCGGTATAGTTGGGAGAAACTATGTTGTTATAGATACCAACAATTTGTGTATGAATCAATTGTTTGCTAAAAACTCGTGAACAACAAAACACTTCCAATAAGACATTTACAAATTTACTCATGGCAACTTGAAATTTTAATAAATAAATTAATAAAAACTTAAGGAAAAAAATAACGAAATACAAATAAGTACTTTCTGATTCTGGACGACACACATTGGTGTCGATTCTAAAAAACTCGTTCAACGCAGCGTGATCGGAGCAGCAAAGAAGTCGTTCATCCATCACGAATTCAATAGTATCTGTGCAATTTCAGATATAAATACTCCATATGTAGTATAACTGACTAGTCAAGTTACATATATTACGCCAGCAAAACAGGAGAGAGGTGATGAGGCTGGACCACTTCATACGCGTCTCAGAAACATAAACATTTTTACATTTCAAATGTACTCTTTGGTTCGGAAATTAGAGCCACCTCCATGGCACATTGCCACTATATTTCTCTTTGCCGTGAAATAGTCCTAGATATTCGCCGCGTAAAGGGAATCTTTTTCACGCAGTTTTCAAGCAGTCTTCCCCATGATATTCCCCAACTCAATCTATTGTAACTCGTACGATGAAAAACTGAAGCCCAATCTGCCTTCATTTGTGGATTTCAACTCAAGCTTCTGGAAAGGGCTGTAAAAAGTCCATGTACTTAAAAGCCTTCCTAAGGGAATAAGTAAATTAACAGAATAACAGGTGAAAAAAAAATTGATTTGAATCGTACTTGCTTCTTCTGGTCAAAAGGGGATGGGGGGAATCGTCCTTGCTTCAGGTATTTGTGTTCGTGTAAAAATAAATCAAAATCAAAATCAAACTCGAAATGTATAATAAAACTTATGGTATAGGAGGCATTAAGTGTATTTTAGGCAAACCTCAGGGAATTTAATATAATTTACTCAAAAGGGGGGGGGATTGCTTGTAATTTCATGGTATGATGTAGATAGAAATACTAAAACAGTTATAGTTAGTTCACAGGAAAAAGTTATTGGGGTTTCATTAGTGGTAAAGGGTCAAAAGCCTACGGGGTTGAGTAAGTATCTACTGGGGCTTTATTATAGCGGGGCTAACCCATATCAGCAATTCTAGATAAATACAAAGAACATAAGGAAATAATCACGCCGAAGCAATGCTGAAGCATTGGGATCCAAAATTAAAGTACGAAAGAAGAGAAAAATTACCTGCTATTGGGGTCATAGTAGAACCCACTGATAGAACCATCAATACAAGAAAAACAGACATAGTAAAAGCCAGCTATAGTTAACCCGCAATCTGTTCCAACATTCACAAAGTACTGCTCTTTCCATCTCTGCAGTAATGGAGTCATGAAAAGTGTCAAAGATTTAATTTCAGATAAAGAAATTTAATTCTTTGAACAAATTGATCATTCTTTACACAATCTAAATCAAGTTACCATAAAAATGTGAGGATAATTGCTCAGGTCCAATGACTTGCCACCATCAGCTTCCACTTGGGCCTGAAAAGAATGAAATTCATTATAACAGTCCACGGGATGCATATGAAATCATGCGACAAGAAACTGTCAACCTGTAGTGGAGAGAAAGATGAAAACTTCGTCCAGTGCCTTATATCATCATCTGGTCTGGAAAGAAAACAAAACAAAAATTCATCAACGCATAGAAGTTTTGCCTGTAAATCTCAGGCAATATGAAAATATCCACACTAAGATGTGTGGCATCAATATTAACAATAGGCTACATGGGCAAACAAAATTTATTCCATATTGAAACATACGTTGCTTCCCATTTGCCAGTAAAGAAAGTATAATTCTTGGCATCAACAATCTCCCCTTCCCAGAAGGTTACTACCTGAGTAAATAATTCAAGACAAAGTGAATGCAATGGATATCTCTCTAGGAAAACTTGTTTGATAAAGGCCAATAATAAACTCTTACTAATAAATAACCATTAGGACAAATTTGAGGCAGGAGAAATAAAAGAATACGGCAATCTCAGCTGAAATTGCTTCTGTTTAAGCCCTACTGGACATGTTATAATCTGGAATATTACCAACCTTGCTCTATCCTGAACGTTTATAATATGAACACATACATACTAAAAGAAGTAAAGAACAGAATACAGATAGAAAACTAGCTAATGCCAGATCACTTTGGACATTTGTACAATGTAAAATGAGAAAAGTGACATCTAACTAAGCATATTAACAATCAATATTTTAGGCTCAAGCCTGCAATTGATAATGAAGATCTAAACATTCATAACACGAGTTGGCTAGCTCACCAGTAACAACAATCGTTGTTACCAACAAATTAAAGTGCAAAGAATAATATATTTTGAAAAAAAAAAATGTTCATCAGATAACCATAAACATGTGTATGAGCAATCCATATAGAAATGGGTTGCTTAATCTGCCAAAAAATATTAAAAATGATTTTATAAGTAACTAGAGTCCATTGTGGCCAACAGTAATTGGCACAATAAATAATTCAAATAAATTTGAACATAAGGTAAAGCATAACTGCTAAAGGAGTAAAGTAATAAACTGGTGAATCACACAGACAAGAGTAGTCTTGAATCTTGATTCCTTTCATGTATTCTTGTTAGGATGGAACAAGAAAAAGAAAATTCTCACCGGAGTGTCTGCCATAGGAACATTCAGAGCTTCCATAGTGCCACATAGGTACCCATGTTCAAGGTCACATCCCTGTATACGCACATTTACTCTCCATGCTTCATCCTTTTGTAGGCTAGAAACATTCTGGGTGCCGGAAAAAGCCTGCAAGATATAAGTGACTTGAGCACATAATGCAAAAATTACCAGGTGAAAGATGAAAATAACAAAGTGGTCTACAAGTTGCTTCACCAAGACACTCCCTCTCAATTACATGCATTTGGGACTTTTTAGTCAGAAGTCAGAACTTGATTCTTAAGCATAGCCATGAAAGATTTCAAGTAAACAACAAAAGAAACTAATCTGTCACAAAAGAACCAAGCTTCGTAGCATCCATGAGATATGCATAATTTCCTCACAAGCACCATGATCATAAATTCTATAATAAGACATAAGTAATCACCAACCCAAAACCTCGCTATTTTGATTTACAACTTGAAACTAGTGTGCTCTGCTGATGACAATCAGGTAATAAGAAGTTGAGGAATCAGTAAACTCTAACTTGCTAAGAAAAAGAGAATAAGAAAACTCTAATTCGAGCAGCTTGTTCGATTTCTTGTACATTTTCCTGATCCGTATGATTCAAAGGGGGCATCAAAGGATAAAAATGAGAATAAGAAACTTACCTGGCCAGCACCTAAAAGTGTACAAGCTTGGAATGATGTCTGACCAGAATTTGCACCTACAGAAACAATCAGACGAAAACGGAAATGTTACCATGGATAATTGTATTCAGAATAGAAAAATAACAGGAATAATAAATAGAAAATGCATCCAAGAATGGATATTTGTGGTTAACAATATCAATGGGGCGGAAAGGTAGAGATACCTGAAACCTGAGAAGGAGTCGAACTCTCTAATACTCTCACAGGCATTTCTTAAACCGATTTAATTTCCTTGAAAATGGAGAAATTGCACACTGCAACTCCACCAACAGGAGAAAGGGACAATTTCAATGGAATCGGTCTTCTATCCTCCGTTTCGCGACGAAGCCAGGTAAAGAAGAAGAATCCATTTTTTTTTGTACAAAAATTTGAGGCAGGCTTAGAAGAAAAACCATTTTGTTCTCGGGAGAAGAAAATTTAACAGATAACACCCAAAGTTGAAGCCCAATCTAATTTTTGTCGGTGAGAAAAACCCAATCCATTTTTGGGCCAATCAATCCCAATCCTCATATAAACTTATCAATTATCAATAAACGTTTTTTTTGGGTACAATTATCAATAAATATTTTATTTTTAAGCATATGCAATGACCTTCATTATTAATAATTTCTACTTATAGGCTTGCCTTAATTTGATCCTTGTGAATAAATTTATTATCAACAAAAACATATCAGTGAGACGGATGATGACGACAAATAAATAAATAATCTCCATAATATTATATAATGGTTACTTAAACAATAACACGAAAATTTTATTTTAATAAAAAGTTTTTTTTATAACTCGTAATATTATTATTTTTTATAGTAAGAAAAATATAAGTGAATCGAGTTGGGGGCAGAGTTTACAATTTAAACCAAATTTACTGACATACTTGTTTTTTTTTGGGGCAAATTTACTGATATACTTATAAATTGTCCAGTAGTAAAATCTTGACATCTTATCATTTATTTTATTTATAGTAATTAATTTTTTTTACCAAATTCATAGTAATTAAATTGACATATATGGTTGGCAAAAAAAAAAAAGTTGACATATATAAAAAGTATTGTTAATACTTGTTATATTTTCGAAGTTTTAGATTAGAAGGACATTTCATTAAAGCATTAAACATTTTTCCTATGAAGGATCATATTAAAATATGTTTTGTTTATACGACTAAGATAATTATTTCAATATCAATATACTCCTATGGTCCTTAACGTAGGACTTAATTTGAGAGTAGATATTGGTTTTACATGTAAAACTTATTTTCCGTATTTGTCAATTTTTTTTCTAAATAATCCTATTGATATTTCTTTAACAATAATCAAGTATAAGAGAAAGGAAGAAAATTAAGAAAGATAGATAGAGTATTTTAGGGAAAAAATATCATATTAAATTATTTAAGTAATATCCTTCATTTAGTCAAATTAGCTAATATATTTTTTAATGTCTTGAACCAATTTAGATTTTTTTTTCTTTTACTTAATTCAAACACGAAAAATATCCTTCTTTCATCATAAGATGACTTAGGTAGCTGCGTTGCCGTAAAAGATATCTAAATCCAAATGGATGAAAATGAGTTGGCAAGTGGACACGGACATTATTAAGAAGAGGAGAGAGGGCAGAGTGAGAAAGCCACCATCGTCCTCGTGCGCTCACGCACTTGGTTACGGCGGTCAACCCCTTCCTTCCTTCCCACATTTACGCCATTTCATGAGGGACGTGTCCTTCTTTTTATTTCACCCCACGTAACCCTCCCCATTATCCCCATCTCCTCCTTCCATACCACCCCCCTCTCTCTCTCTCTATATATATATATTTATACGGAACTAGCACTTTTGCTTTCACATCTTACTGTAATGAATCATTGTTCAGGTTTATAAAGTTTCATCACCCTGTACCGCTCCTCCAAGTGTTCGATAAATTTCCCCACTGGTTTCATACCTTATGGACGATTTGCTGTGTCATGAGACGTGGCTTTCGAGTTCTTCCCATGACTTGCATGATGATTCTTCTATTGTTGAACCCAAACCCTTGTTCAGGTGTAGCAGTTGTGATGAGTATGAGAATGAAGAATTTGAGTTGGCTTTTTCTGTTTGTATCGACAAGGAGATCGCTTACATGCCTGAACCCAATTATGTCAGCTACCTCTATTTCAATCACTTGATTCCTGCTAGGGTTAGAGTAATTCAATGGTTTCTCAAGGTCAGTTTCTATCTTTCAGTGTTTCAAATTCATATCTAATTACACATGCTTATCACCTTTTTCATTAATATGTGTAGCAGGAGTTAGTAGGAGTATATAGAAGGACCACAGCTAGTACATGTACACACGTCCTTTGACATCCTTAAATTACTCAATATAACTTCTTAACTGTTTTGCAGTGTAGAAGCCGCCTTAATCTTTCTTTTGGAACAGTCTTCTATGCTGCCAATTACCTAGATCGATTTATATCTATTTGTCAATGCGATGTAAGGATTCCTTATCTGCTGAATTAATGTCCATTTTTTTCAGATTCTGGTAATCTAATTAATAAACAATGAATTTTGTTGTTTGTAAATATTAACTCCTTCACTAATTAACAACTCAAATTTGAAGATTAAAGTTAGTATTAAGTTTGAGACAAACATTTTGGTGTGGCTAAATTGTTATTTAGTTTCCTTAGGTAAACTGCAGATGATTAATCTTGGTGAGCAAACTTGATGGATTAAACATTGTTGTTTATGTCAGGAATGGAAATATTGGATGGTTGAATTGCTGTCTATTACGTGTTTATCCACGGCGATAAAGTTCCATGAGATATCTGCATTTACGTTGCATGAAATTCAGGTGATTGTCGAAACTGCCATTACTTCTTACTAATTTATTAGATTCCGGTATTAATTCTCTTTAAGTCCTATAAAATTTTACGCCGCAGTTTCCAAAGTGCAATCACACAATTGATTTGGAACCCATTTTTTTCTAGAACTTCGGAGCATGCTTGTATTCAGATATTCACACATGAATATTGTTAACGACCTCATGTTTGTGTGGCTTTACTTGAAAATATTGAAGGTGGAGGGCTTGTATCATTCGTATGAATCGGACTCAATCCTGAGGATGGAGCTGATACTGTTAAAAGCACTAGGCTGGCGCCTTAACACTGTGACACCTTATTCTATCGTAGAAACGGTAGTCTGCTATGTTCAGTCGTCCTTGAGACCTTATCTTCATGAGAAGATTATGTCACGAGTCACTGAACTTCTTCTTCAAGCTACTTTAGGTATGCCTGAAATTGTATACAAGTAAATTATTATTGCTATGCTTTCTTTCGTGATTGGCATGTGACCTAAACGATATTATCAGTTTTCCCTAACAAGTCAATTATGAGATACTCACAGACATGCCAGTAAGATTTAACGAACTTGACATTTGAAGTTCTTTAGTGGTCGTATTTTTGGAGCACCAAGTTTGAAAGTTGAAATCATATTGAGTTCAGTTTGTCATGAGATCTATGTATCCTGATATGTGCTATAAATGTTTGTATGATAATGTCTCTTGTCCTGTACCTTGCTTACTAATGTTCAACACTGTATGTGGCAGATCTGAGAATGTTGGAGTTTAGGCAAAGCGTTGTTGGAATATGTGCACTATGGTGCAGTATAGACCAGTTATATCCATCGGTTTCTGATGCTTTCATCACTTACATAGCCAAGTTATTCAATCAAAGTCAGAAGGTAATTGAGGCAATTATTGTGCTCCTAAAGTAACGCTGTGATTTATCTAGTTGGATGGAAAATATATATATGGTATTTATCCCTTTTTCTTTTTTGAGGTCACAGGATGATCTCATTGACTGTCATAAGATAATGGAGATTTCAACGGCTTTGGAGGGAAGTGGTCATCATTATATAAAAGCCCAACCAGTGTAGTATTGAAGGATTGAACAGTTGGACTACTTGGATATCAAAACATCACCTAAGGCTGCTGCGTGGTCTTTGACAAAGAGATTGAAGATTATGATGAACTGTAACGTGCATTGTTGGAAGGTCAACATAATATTGCTATACGACACCAAATATTCTTCAAATATCATAAAAGGCATTCGTTAATTTCTTGCCCTTGAAGTCATCTTGAGTCTTGACCCTTCAAATATCATAAATTAAAATGTGTTTTCAAGTTTCTGAGCTCCTTTTTTTCCCCCCCGTTCATACAATGAGAGGTATATACATGAGTTCTATATATGCTACATTACTAGCATGGGCAATTGAAAAAAGATCATCGATCGTGATATGGATGTGAAATGTGAAGAAAATCTTGATCTTATTTAGAAAATAAAAGATTATATCAAAATGAGTTACAAACACATCCTAGTTAAAGACATGTATGTAATTAATAGCCATGCTGAAATAAACTGGTATTGCGTTGGTCCAGAAAAAAAAAAAGCTAGTGATGACTAATATTAATATTTCTGGTGATGACTAATTCGAAGAATGTTACTTATGCAGAAAAGCTTTTTGGATTCCTATTGCCAGCATTTCAATTTTCATTACAGTTTAATTTAACCTTGAATATTACAATTGATGCCATGTGAACTCTATGGTCTCGTTTGGTACGAAACATTAAAAATGAGGAGTAAAAATTGCAATTGAGATTGAAAACGTGTTTAAAAGATGTTTAGCGTAATTTCCTATTACATAGGTTTAGACAATTCTATGTAAATGAGATTGGAGAATACCACCTCTCTCCATAATATTCTCTAATATCACATATATGGATTTGTCTAATTCCAATTATCAAACAATTACTCATATCAAACACTCTTTTAATTTAGTTTTTCACTCTGAATCCAAATTCGTATTCCTTATTTTTAATGTTTCATATCAAGCGGGACCCATGTTCTTTGTATGATAAGAATAGACAGTTTCTTTTAATAAATTACACAACGTTTGGCAAGAACCGTACTATTTACATGCAACTTATAGATAGGAGCACGGTAGCATATAAATTTTATATGGTATATTTTTTTGGCCAAAAATTTTATATAATATATTGATGATATAGATATATGATACTTGACAAGATATTAGTAATTAAAATTAGATATGTCATTAAAAATTATTTTTAAAATTAATCTTTCCGGAAAACTGCCAACATAATTTCTGAGTACTATTTAATTTTTTTTAAAATCCAAGTTCTTTATGTAAATTTAAATTTATATCTTGGGTACATTTCTCTCTTTGATGGGCCATTTGTATGGGATCAACGGCCCACGAAGACTGTTGCTCAAGATGAGAAGAATATCGGTCTTCTTTTTCTTTTTCCTTTTTTTTTTTTGGGTTTTGGTCGGAAAAGATGAGAAGCATATCCAGCGACTAGATTCTCGAATCCCCACCACACAAAAAAGAGAACGAAATTAAAAAGAAAAAAATGTATCAATTTTAAGCGCAGGGGGATGTCAAGCAGAACAGAAGGGGGTGGAAGAAGAAGAAAGAAAAAAAGGCCATGGCTGCTTCATCAACTATCGGATCGTCTTCTCTTATCCCTTCCAGAATTCTGCCACTTACTAATACTTCTCTGCACCAGAAGCTCTTGTTCCTCCCAAATTTGAATCATAACCTGAAGGCTCCCATCAAGAAAACTCGAAATTCCTTCAGCGTCCAAGCAGTGAAGCCCCCGCCCGGTGTATGCTTCTTCATCTTTCTCATCCTCGCTTCCTTTTTAACCTTTTCTGTGTTTTTTTTTTTCCTTTTTCAATTCAGTTCTTCATATATCATTTTCTGAAGTTTGAGAATCATGCTCCCCCTATTTTCAATTGGGTATTCATAATGACTGATTTATCTTAGATTGCTTGCTTAGTATGGTGGAAATTTGCAATATTTCTGCGTTTTGAATGAAACAATGATAAATAACACAGAACTTGGGGGTCTCTTCAGGTGGAAATCCCCAGAGTACAGCCACAGTTTAACGCTCCGTTTCTGGGGTTCACAAAGACAGCAGAAATATGGAACTCCAGAGCTTGCATGATTGGAATAATTGGAACTTTCATTGTAGAATTCGTGAGTATTACGAATATTTCTCAGATCCTGCAACTAATCATTTGGCCAAGTTTTCTGAGTTCAGTTGTTGTGATGTTCATTTGCAGATACTCAACAAAGGAATACTTCAGGTGATCGGAGTTGATGTTGGAAAAGGACTAGATCTTCCTCTCTGAGAGCATTCATTTTTCGCTCTCAATAAACTAATTTTCGAATTTCTCACTAAGAAAAATCTAGTTTATAATGCTGTAAGTTGTATACTTTCTCCTGTCTATTATTACCTGAGATTTGTTGTTACTTACTGTTATTTGGAGGGGAAAAGTTATAATTTTCATTCTTCTACTGCCTCCCAATTTTCAGTCTGGATCGTATAATTTAAGGATTTGTGATCGATTTTCAGTTTTAAATCATTTTTAGATGATATGGAAGACTAGTTTGCGATAAAGAAAAAATTCAGGTAGTGATTTGAACTGAAGCTTCTGGTTGATTTCTGTCGAAAGATTTGAGGATAACAAGGTATGGAAGGCAATTCTGTGTTTGGTACTAGTATAATTACAATTGAAGTATTTATGGGGAAGAGCCGAAAGGCCGAAACGATAACAAGAGTCCGAAAAGCCCAAAGAGAACAATAAAATGAAGAGCAGTACAAAAGGACAGAGCAAATCAGCCTTCTTCGACGGCCACCACCAACCAAGCTACTTCCCGGTTCCCCTGCTTGGAGATTTGGGAGAATACTGAAAAAATATAAGTGATTTTTTTAAAGGAAGGGTAATTTTCTAACTATGACTTGATTATATTTCAACCTTTGAAATTTAATCCGTCCAAGGTCCAACTCAGTTTTTAAAATTTCAGTCGTTTAATCTATTCGTTTCTATGCTTCTGAAGAAAGCATCTCCTTCTTCATCGAGGAAGTTGTAATTGAGTCATAAAGCATAGGAATTAATACGTCGAACAATTAATAGGAAAGAATTGAAAATAAATAGAACAAGAAGAAAGCTAGCGAGTCTATGTGATACAAAGCACTACTTTTGAACCACAAATTAAATCTGATATTAAGGATCAAAGGCAGTGCCAATTAGCATGTCTTGATAGCGTTTTATTTTTTATCGCCCGGCTAGGAATCCTGTTGAACTCGATTTAAGTGGAAGAGTTCAGCAAATGGATTTATCAAGGCAGCTTATGCAATAGATTCCCCTCCCCTTACTAAACATGACATTATATTCTGCAAATGGCCGTCTCATTTATTGATAACAAGTTTAAAATCATTACTCACACCAATTAGGGTGCTTTACCGAAGAAGATTTTTTTTGTGAAAATTTTAAGGTTATTCATTTTGAAATTGAAATATTAGTTGGAAATTTCATTAAAAAAAAAAAAACAACACGCACAATCTGGGACTCAGAGCATCTAATGTCTAGTGAGTCTCTTATAATGTAGTTAATTGAAGTTTGAATCTTAATTAAAAGAAGTGTTTATATTTAATACCAACTATGTTTTAAATAAGATTAACTCTAATATATGTCTGCGAATAATAGATAAATAAACAAAAAAGAAACTGAACAAATTTATGATTACAAAAGAATTGTTTATAATGAAATTGTAGAATAATTCCCAAGTGCTCATCCATAACTGAAATCTTACACTACAATGCCGGACAAAAGCTCAAAGAATAAATACACTGTGTCATGTTCATGTCTGAATTCAGAGAGAAACACATCCATTATCCATTATTATAATCAAATATCATCATAAAGCAAAATGCAGGGGGCACAACATAATTTTCGTCAAGCCAAAGATAGGGATTAGATCCTTGCCATCAAAATCCGTATATCTGCTAACCCTAACCTCTAAAGGCTACGAACAAACTTTAAAAAAGAAGCAAATATATACCGGATCCTAACAGTGAAAAAGATGTCGATCACCTCTTAACACTATGCACTATGTCTGTGCTTTTCATGGTTTGATTAAACAAGACTGTAATGAAGAACCCTGAGTTACGAAGCAATGCATATATGCTGATCTTAAGGAAGAGAAAGCTCCAGATTTGGTGGTGGATAAAAAATCAGGCAAAAGCTTAGTAGGAGTGACACTGGTGAGAGTAAAAAGCAGTGTTCTGATCTTTAAAAACCCACATCCAACCAACTTCTATATAGCTGCCTTCACCACACTTCAATCCTACTTTGAGAACGAAGCTTCAACAATTAATGGCAACAACTTCTTCCTCTGTTCTCCTTCCTCTTCTCTTCTATCTTACTATCCTTTGCCCAGTGATAGGTGATTTTCCATCTCTTCATTTCATCCTTACTCCTTTAAATCAAATTAATCTGTGTCAGTTTTATGTATCTTTTCTTGTTTAATTATTTGATAAAAAGTAAGTTGTATTTGCACATACTGTAATATAGTCCTGTAATTAACTAGGTATTTATTGTTCAAAACCTTCAGGAATTAATTTACTTACCAATTAAACGATTCTTGCGTGCATGTGATGCGCAATATTGCAGATGGAGCTCAGCTCGTAGTTGTGAACAACTGCACGGAAAGTGTGTGGCCTGGAATACTGGGTAGCACCGGCCGACCAACACCAAGGGACGGAGGGTTTCACCTCGAAAGCGGAGAAGAAGTAATACTCGACGTCCCGGAGAAATGGTCCGGTCGAATTTGGGGAAGGCAGCATTGCGCCTTTAACAACACGGGCCACGGATCATGCCTAACCGGCGATTGCGCGGGGAAACTCCAATGCAGAGGCAAATCAGGCAATCCTCCGGCAACAGTGATCGAAATGACTCTGGGATCGTCCTCTTCTCCGCTGCATTTCTACGATGTGAGTCTGGTGGATGGATTCAACTTGCCCGTTTCGATGAAACCGATCGGAGGCGGAAGAGGCTGCGGCGTGGCGGCGTGCGAGGTGGATCTGAACTTCTGCTGTCCATCGGCTTTGGAATTGAAGGTGGGAGGAAATGTTGTGGGATGTAAGAGTGCTTGTTTGGCAACTAAATCGGCGAAGCATTGTTGTACTGGGAAATTCGCAGATCCCAAGGCTTGCAAGCCGACTCTATCAGCTCATATCTTTAAGGCTATATGCCCAAGCGCATATAGCTATGCTTACGATGATTCTGGAAGTCTCCATAGTTGCAGAGCTTCCAGGTATCTCATCACTTTCTGCCCTACCAAGTAGAAGCTGGAATGCTGAACTGCCATTAGATCTGCATACGTTTCTATGCTGATCTCCGACTTTTGTTGTAAGTCATAATCGAAACTTTTCGATTTAGCATCATATAATGTATAATGGATACTTATAAAATTTTCATAATATATTATAGATACCAATTTATTATCAAATCCAAAAAGAGTTAAATTAATAAAGTGTGAATTAATATTTCCGTTAGCTCATCCTTTTTTATATGTCAATATGAACATGTTTCCACTAGTTCAACAATTTGTTCTATTTACTTTACTTTTTTTTTTTTGGCCAGTAACAATTTGTTCCGTTTAAAACCTAGGTGCATATGCTAATTCGTTATAAGATCAAGAGTGTGCGTGTATTTTTTTTGTGTGTGGAGATTATGTAGATTTTGAATTGTTGATATTTTTTCCCCCCCCCCCCTATGCGTACAGAGGATATTTGTGCCACGGTTCAGGCAAATCACATAATAAATAAAAACATTTTCTTTGGTTCTGGGTTCAATTTAACGTTAGAATGATAGTGTTGGGCTTCTAACTAAAGTGGGCCGACCCAGTAATTTTTCAAAGTCCAATTAATTTTCAAGCCCAGCGATTAATTTGACGTCAGCTCAAATTAATCAGCTAAGTGACTTCAATAGCACATGCATTGTTGCCTATTAATTACTACCTCCGTCGGCAAATGGGGCCTTACAATAATCAGAGATAATATGAAGTCTGATGCTTTCTACTCTCATTAATTTCTTTTTATAAGACTCTACTAACTAATTTCAATTTGAGATTGAGAAAATTAGTTAAAATGATTTACACGTTAACAACTTTTATATTTTTCAAAATTACCTTTTGATTAATATAAACCAATAGGGGGAGAGATGCTGAAAAAGTGATTATAAATAATAAGAATACTATCGGAGATCAGTTATAACGATGTCTCGTTAAATTTTGTAAAGAATTTTGTATTCAAGACCATTGCGTAGTCTTATAAATAAGATGGAACGTACCTAATATAGGAAATAATTATAGAGTTAATATTAGTCCTATATGTAAGACTTATTTCATATGTTTATCATTTTTTTTAACAAGTTAACCTTATTAATATTCTCTTAACAATAATTAAGTAACATTGTAGGATAGAGACTTAAGGTGTTTTAGGGAAGAAAAACATATCATACTAACTAATTTAACAAACATCTTTAATCTGTTTAAATTAATTAATTAAATCTTACATTAAAGAATTTAGTATTATTTCAATACATTTAAGAGGGAAATTGTGGTAAATAATTCAAAGCAACCACATCAGCATTTGCAAGTCAGGTTTTTTCATGTGACTTGGGTTATCAGAAGAGAGGCTGGTAAATGTTTGTTTAACTATAAAGGATTTTTGTATTAAAAAGAGTAAATCATAAGATTTTCATGAGTCATGATAATAATGTAAACTATCATTAAAAATTGCGTAAAATTTGAACATTGCCAAAATAATTTAGATTAATCAATATGATTGTTGAAAATAGACTTGCCTTGTGGATGTTTTAGAATTTTGCATTCCTACCAAGAAAATAAAAAGCTTCCTTGTCATTCTATCACTATCATACTTTAGAAAATATATGGACGGCAAAAAAGAAAAGAAAGAAGATCCGTGAAGGAATGAGTTAGAAGCAAACTGATGGAAAGTTAAATTCAATTGAAGAGCCATCCACTTCAAACTGATTTTGAATTATGAATCATTGATGTCATTTCATTTTCTAAGCAAGTCCATTGACTATATAATTCAAAACGTTGAAAATTACGTCTCATTTTATAACTTATAATTGTACTACCCGTCCTTAATATAAAAACTAGATGACTAATTTGAATAAATTAAAAAAATTAGTTAAATTAGTTATTCATAATAAATAGGTATTGTCTTTTCTAAAATATTCTCACTAATCAAGTGTATTTTCTAGAAGTATGATTATTACAAGAAAAACAAATAAATATGAAAAACAAAGTAAATTTGGATTTTATATTTATGACTAAAATAAAACTCAAGTGAATTTTTATATTAAGGACTGGATGTAGCATATTTTATACAAAGTTATCTCAGTTCTATAAGTATATACCGTATCAATTTTAGACAGACGTGGGAAAATGGTGTTAGTATAACATTCGCAGGCATAAAACGTTGGAATATTTAATTTTACTACCTCCGGTCTTTAATATAAAATCTTATTTGACTTTTATTTTGATTCTAAATATAAGACCCCAATCCACTTTGTCTCTCATATTTATACATTTTTTTCCAAGATAGTCCTCATAACAATGATAGTTATAACCAATATACTTAATTAGCAAGGATATTTCAGGAAAGACAATATATATTTATTACAAATAATTAAGGGAAAATGACACTAAAATACCACTTGAATTCCAAAAAGACAAATAAGGCACCTGAATAAGCAAAATGACAAAGAAGGCATCAGGTACTAATCTGGAATTTTGATTTTTGGCCTAAAGACTAAATTGCCCTTATTGTGTTTGAAAACTGAGGAGATAGAGAAAGGTAGAAATCGCCTCCTTCCAGCGAAAGCAATTCCCCCCACTCGGCGAAAGAGAAACTGCCCCCACTTGGCGAAACCAATCCATCTACTCGGTGAAACTAATCCCTCCCCTCAGTGAAACCGAATCCCTCTACTCGATGAAACCAATCCCTCCACTCCACGAAACCGAACCCCCTCCAGTTGACGAAACTAAATCCTTCGCATCACCATTCTGTAGAGATTGTTGATTTGGTGGGTTTTGGTTGTGGGAAAGAGGATTTGTAGTGAGAGAGGGAGTGAACCGAAGTGGAAATCAGAAAACAATGGCAAGCAATTACGTAACGTAACTGCTGTCATATGCCTACTGGTTTTTGGTAAATCCCATTACGTGAATGGTAAATTTCACTATACATGTAGTTAATTATGAATTTTACAAAATACATATTGTGATTTACAACTTTTGTAGTGAAAGTGACTACTTTGTTAATGGGTTTTGCAACATGTTTTCAGGAGATAAACAACTTGTTTGTAAAAACTAATAAAATTTTACGTTAAATTTGACAAAACGTATAGTGGGATTTACAACTTCCGTAGTAAAAATGACTACTTATTGAATGGGTTTTGTAACTTGTTTTCAAGGGATTGTTTCTAAAAACTAATAAAATTTCCTACTAAATTTGACAAAACACATAGTGAGATTTACAACTTTCGTAGTGAAAATGATCACTTCTTCAATGGGTTTTGTAACATGTTTTCAAGGGATTGACAACTTGTTTCTAAAAACCAATAAAATTCCATGCTGAATTTTACAAAACATAGAGTGATATTTACAACTTTTGTAGTGAAAATTACCACTTCTTAAATGAGTTTTGCAACCTCTTTTCAAGGGATTGGCAACTTGTTTCTAAAAACCAATAAAATTTCATGCTGAATTTTACAAAACATAGGGTGATATTTACAACTTTTGTAGTGAAAATTACCACTTCTTAAATGAGTTTTGCAACCTCTTTTCAGGGGATGAGCAACTTGTTTCTAAAAATCAATAAAATTTGACGCTGAATTTTACAAAACACACAGTGATATTTACAACTTTTATAGTGAAAATGACCATTTCTTAAATGAGTTTTGCAACCTCTTCTCAAGGGATTGGCAACTTGTTTCTAAAGACCAATAAAATTTCATGCTGAATTTTACAAAACATAGGGTGATATTTACAACTTTTGTAGTGAAAATTACCACTTTTTAAATAAGTTTTGCAACATCTTTTCAGGGGATGAGCAACTTGTTTCTAAAAATCAATAAAATTTGACGCTGAATTTTACAAAACACACAGTGATATTTACAACTTTTATAGTGAAAATGACCATTTCTTAAATGGCTTTTGCAACCAGTTAATTCAATGTGACTACAAAAGTTGTCACTTTTATTAGTTTTTACAAACAAGTTGTTTATCTCCTGAAAACAGGTTGCAAAACCCATTAACAAAGTAGTCACTTTCACTACAAAAGTTGTAAATCACAATATGTATTTTGTAAAATTCATAATTAACTACATGTATAGTGAAATTTACCATTCACGTAATGGGATTTACCAAAAACCAGCAGGCATATGACAGCAGTTACGTTACGTAATTGCTTGCTATTGTTTTCTGATTTCCGCTTCGGTTCACTCCCTCTCTCACTACAAATCCTCTTTCCCACAACCAAAACCCACCAAATCAACAATCTCTACAGAATGGTGATGCGAATGAGTAAGATAATAGCATTTCCAACATTCTTCTTTCTTTCTTCCCGCATTTCATCAGCGTCGGTCTTCCTCTCTCCTTTCTCTCACTGCGTCGGTCTTCCTCTCTCCTTTCTCTCACTTTCAGCGTTGGTCTTCCAGCATTTCATCAGGGCATTTGGGTCTTTTGGCCGAAAATATGAATTCCAGATTGATACCCAGTGCCCTATTTGTCATTTTGCTTATTCAGGTGCCTTATTTGTCTTTTTGGAATTCAAGTGGTATTTTATTGTCATTTTTTAATCACCTCAAATTAGTCAACTAGCTTTTATAATTAGGACTAGAGGTAGTAATTCAATGCAATTATTAAATATAAAAAATTACCCTAATTAATAACACCAAATTCTTTAGACTCCATCATTAGGAGGGAAAAAAAAATATAATACGTCGCCTTGAGGACACGCTGACATATGCACAAACAGCACAGCCTAATGTTCTTGGTTTTCTTTTGCTTAATACATAAATTTGGTAAGAAAGTTTTTACTTAAGGGAGTATTGAGCATCTAAAAAATTTTTGGATGTAAATTTATTAAATTTAAAATTATAATATATTGTCCCGTATTATTAAAAAACTAATATTCACTGTTAAAATAGATGGCTATTAAAATTTTTACCGATAAAAGTAAAATTGTTATCATTTCAAATTACTCAAAAAAAAAAAAAAAAGCTTTTAGTTGCTAGTGAAAATTCTTTGCCAACAGCACAGTTTAATCTAAACATTTTTGTGACAACATTAACAGTAACACCTTGGCGCCAACAAGCCTTGGTCCATGAGAATTCAACTGAAATCAGAAGCTTTAATACAAAATACAGTAGCCTGAAGATCAACGACCTTCAGAGAGAAGCGACTCAGCTACTGAAGAACTGTGAGAGAGAGACTGATCAACGAAAGATGGAAAGGACATAGTAGACTGAAGAAATGCTTGATGACGCCCAAATGATAGGCCTGGAGAAGCAGAACATAAGCTTAGTGATGATAAATCAGGTAAAGGAACCTCCCAATTTAGATACTGCACAACTTGACGCATGGTTGGCCTACTCAGAGGATTCGAATCTGAACACACAAGTCCAAGTTTCAACACTAACTCCACCTCTTCTACACAATACTCCACTCCCAAATTTTGATCCTTTGCCATAATAATCTCACCCCTGTTCCATAACTCATAAACCCAATCTGCTAATATGACACTCTCTTCTTCATTTATTTGCTCTATGGGCCTTCTTCCACACGCAACCTCCAGCAAAAATGCACCAAAGGCAAACACATCGGACCTTGTCGTCGCTTTCCCAGTTCTTGTCTGCTCTGGTGCTAGATAACCCACTGTTCCAACCACATGTGTAGTTTGAGGATCACTGCCATGGTCGTATAATCTTGCAAGACCGAAATCTCCTAATCTCCCATTCAATTCTGAATCTAGGAGGACATTGCTTGCTTTTATGTCTCTATGGACCACCACTTTTTCACATTCTTCGTGTAGGTAGCACAATCCTGAAGCAACTCCTTTGATGATTCTGAATCTTTGTGTCCAGTTTAGTGTCACTCTAGGCTGGTTATGGAGATATTTATCTAAGCTTCCATTTTGCATGAAATCATAGACCAAAAGAAGCTCTCCTTTTCGCCTACAGTATCCCAAAAGAGGTACGAGGTTTCGGTGGCGAAGACGACCAATACTAACGACTTCAGCTACAAATTCCCTCATGCCTTGTCGAGATTCATGTGAAACTTTCTTCACAGCAACCTCAACTTTTGAAATTGGCATTATTCCTTTGTAGACTCTACCAAATCCACCACTTCCCAGAAGCTCTCTGTCTTTGAATCCCTTTGTGGCCACGTACAGATCTTTGTATTTGAACCTTTGAGCACCATAGTCTTGCTCCCACTCTTCTTGAATCTCTGAAAATTTCCTTTTCCTACTTATGTAATAAAAACCAGATAGAATCGCAATAAAGATTATACAGAGTGAAAGCAAAGGTAACCCGATTAGCAAAATCATAGACTTTTTTCTTCCACCAAGTCGTGGTAGCTTTGGGAGTTTAGAGATAACTAGGTTTTGAGCCATCCCATTGAGCTTGAAGCTCCAACCAAGAACATAATGAGAAGTTAAAACAGACCCTGTGGAGGATGAGAATCCGACATAACTAGTATTGTTTATAATTTGAGAAAGATCCTGGTATGATGTTAACAATGGAGTTTTGGGTTTGTCAACGTTGATGGGAGCTAGGGTGACACTAATTTGCTTCTTTCCTACGTCATAGTCCACCCACACCTGCATTGGAAGGCCACTAATGAGACTCAAATTCTGAAAGTGAGACCTGTTGAGATAATATCCTGCAGGAGAAGAATTGGCTGACTTCAAGCCATTAATGTCGATTCCGAGATGGTTATCATTGATATCATCAAACTCGCTGCTCAGGATGGTGTCAAGTTCCACGGCAAAAACATGATTTGTACGGTTGCCATTATTGGTTTCATTGAAGAGACCCAAGTATTGACTGGGTAGAGCACCTGGAAGTGCTTTTGCAGGGGAGATTAGAAAAGCGATTCCATGACCACTCAGAGTTTTGTACTCAGATCTAATGGCGAAAACAAAAGTGGTAGAGAAAGAAGAAGAATCATTGAAAGTTATTGGATTGGGATAGAAAGCATGACCTTTTTCCTGCCTGGTTTCGTTGGTGAGTCGAAGTAAGCCATTGGAGGTGATCTCAGAAATACCATCCATGGTTAAATTAGCTGATTGGAAGCCATTATTAAAGATGAAGCTCGTATCTTCACCTCTCACTTGAACCACCGATATCACTACCATCACCAAAATCATCATCGCCTTCAACTTCTTCATCAGAGACATGGCTGCAGATAGCTCAGATAGAACCGCATGCTATTTTGGACTTCGCATATTCTAGCTTTATAGACCCTGGCGGCTCACCAAAAAAATTTTAATTGGAAAAAAAAAAAATCAGAGTTTGATTAAAGTATTTGTTCAGCCGCCATTGAAAGTCATGTTGACAGGGGCAGCAGGGGGAAAGTGAGCATCTTAGTGCACCTAACTGCTATGAACTACTCTTTTGGTTTTAAATATAAGATTCCTTTTATAGTATAAATTACACTATAAAAATGGTTTTATATTTAGGACCGGAGGAATATATATGAAGATATGATTGAGGTTGGGAATAATTATGTGAAGGCATGTCAACTAAGTCTATGGTCAAATATTATTATATATGACGTATCGGAACGTGAAATAACTTGATCAGATCAAATATTCAATTGATCACCCAAGTCTTTGAGCTGATGTTCATATTGAGTAGTGGCACATGGGAATGGCGTATTTTGGACTTTTAGTGCCCCTTTGCTAGTAATTGCCATGTAGAAATGAGAATTGAGGTTTGGAATTTCGACCATTGCTTATGTGAAAGGGTTTAGCTGAAGTCTCAAAAGTTGCAAGTAATTTTGGACTTTCAGTGCCCCCATGAAGTGTAACTTTTTTTTTTTTAAAAAAAAAGATTTAGTTTGTTTACAAGTAGAACTTAGTCAACTTACATATTTAATAGTCAAGTTACATCATTTATAAATCAAACTCGTAAATATTAAATTCTCTTGGAGCTATTAATGTTAAATAAAATTCAAAAAATCTTTTTTTTTTTTTTTACTCGAAGCTATGAAAGTATAAATACTTTTTTTCCCAATTTGAAAGAACTTAATTGGATTTGATGACATGTGATTAACAAATCATATAGACAAGGTATTCAATTTTATGTAGTATTTGTGATCCGATAGTTTACAATTTTTTACCCGATTTTTAGTTTGGTTTCCACAGTTCAAATTCTTTTAAATCACTCTTTAAACTTTTCCCCATCACACATCGGAATTTTAATTAACAAAAGCACTTTTTCTAGCCAAAAGCTCTCTGTTTTAATGCTGACCCCAAGACGTTACTCTCTGTTTTAACTAAATTCTTGAAGAGAAGTAGAAGAGTTTAGTGCTCAAAAAGAAAAAGCTCTGTTTTATGGGCTGAAAAAGAGTATACCTAAGAAAAAGCTCCCATGATGTGTATATATGATGACATTTATACAGTATAACGTGCAGGAGCTTCATTCCCTCGTGCAGTTCCGTTAATTAATTTACTAATGTATAAGTAATTTTCTAACTAGCAAGGATCTTCAATTATATTCATTTTGCATGTATATAACTATTGGTTTCATTGAAGAGACCTAGGTACTGACTGGGTCGAGCACCTGGAAGTGCTTTTGCAGGGGAGATTAGAAAAGCGATTCCATGACCACTCAGAGTTTTGTACTCAGATCTAATGGCGAAAACAAAAGAGGTAGAGAAACAAGAAGAGTCATTGAAAGTTATTGGATTGGGATAAAAAGCATGACCTTTTTCCTGCCTGGTTTCGTTGGTGAGTCGAAGTAAGCCATTGGGGGTGATCTCAGAAATACCATCCATGGTTAAATTAGCTGATTGGAAGCCATTGTTAAAGATGAAGCTTGTATCTTCACCTGTCACTTGAACCGCCGATATCACCACCGTCACCAAAATCATCATCGCCTTCAACTTCTTCATCATAGACATGGCTGCGGATAGCTCGGATAGAACCGCATGCTATTTTGAACTTCGCATATTCTAGCTTTATAGACCCCGGCGGCTCACCAAAAAATTTTTAATGGAAAAAAAAAATCAGAGTTTGATTAAAGTATTTGTTCAGCCGCCATTGACAGTCATGTTGATAGGGGCAGCAGGGGTAAAGTGTGCATCTTAGTGCCCCTTGCTGGCTGCTATGAGCTACGTATGAAGATATGATTGAGGTTGGGAATAATTATGTGAAGGCATGTCAACTAAGTCTACGGTCAAATATTCTTATATATGACGTATTGGAACGTGAAATAACTTGATCAGATCAAATATTCAATTGATCACCCAAGTCTTTGAGCTGATGCTCACGTTATTCCTGTTTGGTAGGAAGTATTAAAAATGAGGGATTTGGAATTGAAATTGTAATTAAAAAAAATCATTAAAATAGTATTTAGTATGAGTAATTGCTTGTCATATAGGATTATGCAAATTCATAGAGGTGGGATTAGGGAATACTACTTCCCCTCATGATATTCTCCAATCCTACATACATGGGTTTGACTAATCTCATATAAGAAGCAATTTTTTATACTAAATACTCTTTTAATATATTTTTTCAATTGCAATCTCAATTTCAATATTTCCTACCAAACGAAACCATTGAGTAATGGCATACGGGAATGGTGTATTTTGGACTTTTAGTGCCCCTTTGCTAGTAATTGCCATGTAGAAATGAGAATTGAGGTTTGGAATTTCAACCATTGCTTATGTGAAAGGGTTTAGCTGAAGTCTCAAAAGTTGCAAGTAATTTTGGACTTTCAGTGGCCCCTTGCTAGTAATTGCAATGTAGAAATGAGAAAGCGAAATTAAGTGTAACTTTTTTTTTTTTTTTAAAGATTTAGTTTGTTTACAAGCAGAACATAGTCAACTTACATATTTAATAGTCAAGTTACATCATTTATAAATCAAACTCGTAGATATTAAATTCTCTAGAAACTATTAATATTAAATAAAATTCAAAAAATCTATCTTTTTTTTTTCCTTCACTCGAAGCCTATGAAAGTAGTAAACTTACATATTTAATAGTCAAGTTACATCATTTATAAATCAAACTCGTAGATATTAAATTCTCTAGAAACTATTAATATTAAATAAAATTCAAAAAATCTATCTTTTTTTTTCCTTCACTCGAAGCCTATGAAAGTATAAATATTTTTTTCCCCTAATTTGAAAGAACTTGATTTGATTTGATGACATGTGATTCGTAAATCATATAGACAAGATATTCAATTTCTACGTGGTATTTGTGATCCTATAGTTTACAATTTTTTACCCGATTTTTAGTTTGGTTGCCACAGTTCGAATTCTTTTAAATCACCCTTTAAACTTTTCCCCATCACACATCGGAATTTTAAAATTTTTTTTTGGTCAAAACATCGGAATTTTAATTAACAAAAGCACTTTTTCTAGCCAAAAGCTCTCTGTTTTAATGCTGACCCCAAGGCGTTACTCTCTGTTTTAACTAAATTGTTGAAGAGAAATAGAAGAGTTTAGCGCTCAAAAAGAAAAAGCTCTGTTTTATGGGCTGAAAACAGAGTATGCCTAAGAAAAAGCTCCCATGATGTGTATATATGATGACATTTATACAGTATAAAGTGCAGGAGCTTCATTCCCTAGTGCAGTTCCGTTAATTAATTTATTAAAAAAATTTAATTTACTAATGTATAAGTAATTTTCTAACTAGCAAGGATCTTCAATTATATTCATTTTGCATGTATATATAACTATGGGCTATTTTTGCAATCAAAGCATTGGATATATTTTCACTAATGCAACGCTAGGGATGATTTATGTAGTAGTAACCCCTTCATTCCAACAATTCTGGATCTTATCGGGAATACAACTTGCTCAAAATGAAACCAACAAGGAAACTTTAAAAGGAAAAGAAAGAACAGAAAGCTAAAGATATGAAATAGCAAGCTCTAGCAAGTCATGTGGCTTTTGTAAGGCATTAACGACCCCCAGAGAGAAATGATTCGGCTACCGAACATTGAGAGAAAGACTGGTCAGCATAAAATGGAAGGGACGACGTCGTGGAGTCAAAAAATCCGGATTTGCCAAATGACAACCCCGGAGAAGTAGAACATAAGGCTAAGGATGATGAGGATATGTCGGGCAAAGGAACTTCCCAATTCAGATATTGCACAACTTGACGCATGCTTGGTCGGGTCTGTGGTTGGAAATTTGAGCACAAAAGCCCCAGTTTCAATACCAACTCAACCTCTGCTGCCACATACTCTGTTCCTAAATTTGGATCCTTTGCTTCAATAATCTCACCCCTACTCCATAGTCCGTAAACCCAATCTACTAAAACCACACTCTCTTCTTCATTAACCTGCTCTATGGGCCTTCTTCCACACACAACCTCAAGCACAAACGCACCAAAAGCAAAGACATCTGACCTTGTCGTGGCTCTCCCTGTTCTTGTATGTTCTGGTGCTAAATAACCCAATGTCCCGACCACGTGTGTAGTTTGAGGATCACACCCATGGTCGTACAGTCTTGCAAGACCAAAATCTCCTACTCTTCCATTTAATTCTGAATCTAGCAGGACATTACTTGCTTTAATGTCTCTGTGGACCACCACTTTTTCGCATTCTTCATGTAGATAGTGCAATCCTGAAGCTACTCCTTTGATGATTTTGAATCTTTGCATCCAATTCAGTGTCACGCTAGGCTGGTTATAAAGATATTTATCTAAGCTTCCGTTTGGCATGAAATCATAGACGAGAAGAAGCTCTCCTTTTCGCCTACAATATCCCAAAAGAGGTACGATGTTTCTATGGCGGAAACGACCGATGCTTATGATTTCTGCAACGAATTCCCTCATGCCTTGCCGAGATTCATGTGAAATTTTCTTCACAGCAACCTCAACTTTTGAAGTTGGCATTGTTCCCTTGTATACTCTGCCAAATCCACCACTTCCCAGAAGCTCTCTGTCTTTGAATCCCTTTGTGGCAACGTAGAGATCTTTGTATTTGAACCTGTGAGCGCCATATTCTTGCTCCCACTCTTCTTGAATCTCAGAAAACTTCTTTTTCCTATACATGTAATAAAATATGGATAAGATCATGGCAAAAATCGAACATAGAGAAAGCAGAGGCAACCCAATTAGCAAAACCATTGACTGTTTCCTTCCTCCGAGTCGTGGTAGCTTCGGGAGTTCAGAGACGACCAGGTTTTGAGCCTCCCCATTGAGCTTGAAGCTCCACCCAAGAACATAATGAGAAGTTGACACAGACCCAGTAGAGGATGAAAACCCCACATAACTGGGATTTTTTATTATATGAGAAAGATCTTGGGACAACGTTAACAACGGAGTTTTGGGTTTGTTAACGTTGATGGGAGCAAGGGTGACGCTAACTTGCTTCTTTCCTCCGTCATAGTCCACCCACGCCTGCATTGGAAGGCCACTAATAAGACTCAGATTTTTAAGCCGAGACCCTTCATCATAATATCCTGCAGGAGTAGAACTGGCCGACTTCAAGCTGTTAATGTCAATTCCGACATGGTTATCATTGATATCATCAAACTCCCTGCTCTGTATGGTGTCAAGCTCCACTGCAAAAACATGGTTTGTACTGTTGCCATTGTTGGTGTCATTGAAGAGACCTAAGTATTGACTAGGCAAAGCACCTGGAAGCGCTTTTTCTGGAGAGATTAGAAAAACGATTCCATGACCGCTCAAAGTAGGGTATTCAGGTCTAATGGCGAAAACAAAAGCAGTTGAGAAAGAAGAAGAGGGGGTGAAAGCTATTGGATTGGGGTAGAAAGCATGGGCTAGTTTTTGCCTGGTTCCGTTTGTGAGTTGGAGGAGGCCATTGGGAGTGATCTCTGAAATACCATCCATGGTTAAATGAGCTGATTGGAAGCCATTATTAAAGATGAAACTTGTATCTTCACCGCTCGCTATCACCAGCAAAAACAACATAGCCACAAGCTTCACAGACATATCCATCTCTTTTTAAATTTCTCTGCTATCTGTGTCTTTATTTCACATCCAGAATCACAGTTTCTGCTCTTTGTAGGCGATGGTTAAAGGGCAAGAAGCAATGGGCTGGTTTGGGTCCCTTCATCATTAAGATTCTTGATAAGATTTTGACTAACTCGGTCTTCTCAATTTATGTAATAGTTTTCATTCCCTCTTTGCAAGGAGGTAGGCGCAGAAGAATCTAAACTGCAATTAATTCAAACTTGTCATCATTTGGGATTTGACGTGCATGTGTGTAAGCATGGACAAATATAATGGTTATTACATTGAATTGGGAGGCTTACCATATTGTGGTTTCGGTCTTCCACTGCATCTCAACCCTTGATCTGCAGCCTGCAGGGCCCGCAAATTCTTTGCCTCTTATTAACAAATAATTAATTATTGGTAAAATATTTTATATTTGAAATGGAGGGATAATGGTCAAAATATATCACTTATATGATTTTATATGTAAATTTAATTAACTTGAAGCATATGATAATTCACGAGATGTATAGTAAGGGATCCATTCTCCCCACGTAGCGATCTATGAATTGTATTTTAATATCATAATTCATTGCTTCAATTTTTCCCCCCAAAATCTAATGATATTTTGTTTCAAACTACATTCAATGTTTTTATTTATTTTTTGATGATAAACAGCGGGAGCAACTGATGGTGAGCAAATTAAATTAGGATTTATGTTGGATTTCGTATCTCTTTCATTTCATCATTACTAGTTGCTTCTACTAATAACTTCTAAAGGTTCTATCTTTTCCAATTAAATTCTTTTTTCCAAAAAAAAAAACTCACGACTTAATCCTTTTAGCTTCATATTTTTTATATTTATATAGTCTTTTTTAGTTTAAGGCTTGAACGTTCTTCTTAATAAATATTCCATTGTTTTGAATGCAAACATAGCCATCCACATATTTTAGTTCCTCTATGGACATGCTTATTAGAGACTTCCCAATCCCTCATTATTGGTGTGTTTGGTACGAGAATTTTTTTTTTTTATACAAAGGAAAACGAAAAACCTCAAGCTAAGAACTACCCTCCAGGATCCGAGCTCAAGAGACGACTTGCAGCAACAGGTCCTAGGATCTGGAGACCAAAAGCATTAGCCAGTGCACTCTTTGCTAGAGAATCCGCCAACTGGTTGTCATCCCTTGCCACGAATTGGAGACTCACGTTCCAGGTTCGTTGAAGCATCTCTTTTACTTCCATGATGAGAGAAAAGTCCTCATGAACGTCAGGGGTAGAGTTCTGCAGCAGCCTCAGAGCTTCTAGAGAGTCAGATTTCAAGAGGATATTCCTATGGCCTCCATCCCACGTTCTTCTCAAGGGTCAGAAATTTTAGAGTACGTTTGGAATAAGGAAAAATGAAAGGAGGGGAGAAATTTTTTTTAATAAATTTGACTTAAAAATTAAAAAAAAAAGGTTAAAAGCTTTTAATTATTTTTTATTACTTTTTTTATATTTTTTTAAAATTAAAATTTCAAAATCTCATTTCTTTAGTTTTTTAAAATAGAATTTATTAAAATTTTTCTTTTTCTCTTCTCCATTGCATTTCCGTCGTGGCAACCTAAATTTTTCAAGTCCACACACGAGTTTTTCTTTGCAAGTTCGGTGGTTCCAGTGTCCTGTTCTGGTCCTGTTTTAGGGAGAGAATGATTTACCGCATCGACTTTTCAGCAAACAAGGTCCAAAATATTGGGAGAATTAGAAAGAATGACCAATAAAGAATGATATTTATAAAAAATGATTAAAAAAATTAAAATCTATGAGGGTTTTAAAAAGAAAATTTTAATTTTTTTTATAAAAAACAAAACATTAATTTTTATATGAATCAATAATGTTTGCATATTTTTTAAATTGATTTTTACGCAGGCAGAAAACAAAATGTAGGGGGGAATATGGCGAAAAAATAGGAGGTTTGGATAGGGGCAATATTGTATTTTTAAATTTATATTTGAATATTAAGTCCTTTTAAATAATTTTAATTTTTATAATCCTCTCTAATAAATATTACTGCCTATTAATCCTTCTCTCTAATTCTTCCAAGATTCTTCCACGTTCATTGTTTGCGTTCCATAACATCCGGTTTTCCAATGAGGGAAATTAAAGCTGCTTTCATTCCAAATTCCAAATATAATTATAACCTGACTTGATAGAGAAATTCAAATAATATAATTGACCCAAAACCTTTTTTCTTTTGTTTTCCTTTCAGTTTTTGTTTTTGTTTTTGTTTTGGGTGGACTAGTTCCGCAATTAACACTTAAACTCTAAGGTCCCACTTGATAAGAAATATTCAGAATAAAAGGTAAGTATTAGAATTGATATTGAGAAAAACTATTAAAAAGTGTTTAATATGAATAATTTCTTATTAGATGGGATTGTCCCAGTCCCGTGTGTAGGTGGAATTGGAAAAACAACTTTCTCATTGCATATTATTTGGAATCCCAAGTAACATGCAACTTCTTATACTAAATATTTTTTAAATATATTTTTTTTTGTTTCAATTCAAATCTCAACCTTTATTCTTCATTTCCAATACTTCGTACTAAATGAAACCTAATGTTCCATTTGATATAAAATGCTTAATATAAGTGATTGCTTATTATTTAGGATTAGGCAAACCCACGTAAGTGGCATTAGAAAATACCATCTCCCCCATGATATTCCCTGATCCCACATATATAGGTTTATTTAATTCTAAATAACAAACAATCTCCATATTAAATGCTAATCTCAATCTCAATCTTTGTCTCTCATCCCAATGCTTCATACTAGACTAAAGCTAAGATTTAGGATCGGAGGGAGTGGGCTAATTATAATTACTATATATCATGCCCCTCTTTTAACCCTTCATGCAAGATTTGTATTAGAGTTTCAGCTGATTGATGTCCCGTTTGGGGCAGACTATCAACTATTAATCAACTGGGTCAACCAAAAGAGCCAAGCTTGGGATTGGGGGTGTGAGATCATCCTCAAGAACATCACATACTTGAGGAAATTTTTAAGGAACCATTTCTGTTCTTGGATTCCAAGGGAAGCTAACTTAGCCACCAACTAGGTGGCTGAGGCTTCATTAGAGGGGTCGGATTGGGCACAGAAGCCACCTCGTCAGTTGCTCAACATTTTATCAAAAGATGCACGAGATTCAGAGTTTGATCCAGGCTGACCTTCTATAGTTTTAGTGTTTGCCGTGATTTTGTTTTTTTTCAGTTTCAGTTGGCTCCACAATTCAAGTGAAGCCCGCCATATGTCACATTCAATAGCACATGGACTTTGAGAGAAATTGAGCTCCAATTTACAATCAACCCATCGGCCCATTGTCCCAGTGTTGGGTCAACAGATCCATTTTTTTCAAAAATTTTTGGGACTGACAACTTCATCCCATTCAAAAGGAGAAAACCAACAAATGTGATTGGTTAATGGTAATTAATTTTGAGAAATTTAATTATAGTTGAGTTCCATTTATTAAAATTAGTTACAGATGTATAATTACCATGAAAAAAGCCTGAATTTTATAAGGTTTTTTATAATTCTATAATTATCATTAAATTAATACAATTTAATAACAAGTGAGATCAGTTTTTAAGTATACTTTTTATTTGATAATTATTAGTTAAATATTTTCATTTAATATTTATTGTTACAAAAAAGAGTAGATACTCGTAAGTGAATATCGACTAGGCGTTTTCAAACGCACAAACAACTCCAAAGTACTGCAAAGAATTGAAATCACCCAAACTATCTATTGAGCTTCATAATTATATAAGCTCTCACTCTTAAATCGAACAGGGAAATTGACCAGGTCAGTCATTCCCCCACGAGACGCAAAGAGTTAAAACTTCTATTCCATAATTGATGCATGCTACTGCTAACTGATCCAAGTTTTATTCCTGCATAGTTTGTAATAACGGATGAGAAGTTATTGAAAAAAATAAAAAACAAAAAGCAAACAGAAGAAACTAATTAGAACTTTTGTGATTTACAATCTTTTTCATTCCTGCAATTTTACAAATCTTCCATATCACCACAGCTTTTTAACTGATATATACAAATCATTATTAAAAAAATAATTATACTCAAACAAGCTTGCACACATTAACTGAATAAATAAATATAAGAGTTAGCTAATTTACGAGTTTAGCTTATATCGTTTACTTTTTTGAAAAGACAACTTGTTAAGATTTGAGAGCATACACACGCAATATAGAAGCTGGTTTACGTAACAGGATATAATTTCTTGATCCATGGCTACTTTTACAAGTCAATTTTCTCACAAATCTCATGCCCCTTGTGAGGAATCAGCGACCTCCAGAGAGAACTGATTCCACTACTGAACATTGAGAGAAAGACCGGTCAACATAAGATGGAAGGGACAACGTTGTAGAGTCAAATGTTGTAGAGTCAAAAACTCCATGGCAATTCCCAAACGACACTGCTGGAGAAGTAGAACCTAAGCTCAAAGATGATGATATGTCAGGCAAAGGAACTTCCCAATTCAGATACTGCACTACTTGACGCATGCTTGGTCGACTCAGTGGTCGAGAATTTGAACACAGAAGCCCCAGTTTCAACGCTAACTCTACCTCTTTCGATGAATACTCAGTTCCTAAATTTGGATCCATTGCTTCAATAATCTCACCCCTGTTCCATAACCTGTAAACCCAATCAACTAAAATCACACTCTCTTCATTTACTTGCTTTATGGGCCTTCTTCCACACACAACTTCAAGCAGGAAGGCACCGAAAGCAAAGACATCTGACCTTGTCGTGGCTCTTCCTGTTCTTGTCTGCTCCGGTGCCAGATAACCCAATGTCCCGACCACGTGTGTAGTTTCAGGATCACTGCCATGGTCGTACAGTCTTGCAAGACCAAAATCTCCTAGTCTTCCATTTAATTCCGAATCTAGGAGCACATTACTTGCTTTTATGTCTCTGTGAATGACCATTTTTTCACATTCTTCATGTAGATAATGCAATCCTGAAGCAACTCCCTTGATGATTTTGAACCTCTGTGTCCAATTCAACGTCACGCTTGGCTGGTTATGGAGATATTTATCTAAGCTTCCGTTTGGCATGAACTCATAGACTAAAAGAAGCTCTTTTTTTCGCCTGCAATATCCCAAAAGTGGTACTAGGTTTCGGTGGCGAAGACGACCAATACTAATGATTTCTGCAACAAATTCCCTCATGCCCTATCGAGATTCATGTGAGACTTTCTTCACAGCAACCTCTACTTTTGAAGTCGGGATTGTTCCTTTGTAGACCTTGCCAAATCTACCATGTCCCAGAAGCTCCTTGTCTTTGAAGCCCTTTGTGGCCACGTAGAGATCTTTGTATTTGAGCCTGTGAGCGCTATAGTCTTGCTCCCACTCTTCTTGAATCTCAGAAAACTTCACTCTCATAATGTGATAAACTATAAATAAACTCACAAGAAAAGTCAAACATAGCGATACTAGAGGTAACCCAATCACCAAAATCATTGATCGTTTCCTTCCACCAAGTCCTGGTAACTTCGGGAGTTCAGAAAGGACAAGGTATTGAGCCTCCCCATTGAGCTTAAAGCTCCAGCCAAGAACATAATGGGAACTTACTACAGCACAAGTGCTGGATGAGAATCCGACGTAACTTAGATTGTTTATAATATGAGAAAGATCTTGAGACAACGTTAACAATGGAGTTTTGGGTTTGTTAACGTTGATGGGAGCAAGGGTGACGCTAATTTGCTTCTTTCCTCCATCATAATCCACCCAGACCTGCATTGGAAGGCCACTGATAAGACTCAGATTTTGAAATCGAGACCCTTCATCATAATACCCTGCAGGAGTAGAATTGGCCGAACTCAAGCTGTTAATGTCGATTCCGACATGGTTACCATTGATGTCACCAAACTCTTCGCTCCGTATGGTGTCAAACCCCACTGCGAAAACATGCCTTGTACGGTCACATTGGGTGTCGTTGAAGAGACCCAAGTAATGACTGTTTAAAGCACCTGGAAATGCTTTTGCGGGGGAAATAACAAAAGCGATTCCATGACCACTCGAAGTAGGGTATTCAGATCTAATGGCAAAAACAAAAGTAGTTGAGAAGGAAGAAGAATTGGTGAAGGCTATTGGATCGGGGCAGAAAGCATGTCCCAGTTGGTCCGTCGTCCCATTTGTGACTTTGAGTAGGCCATTGGGAGTGATCTCTGAAATGTCATCCATAGTTAAATGAGCCGATTGGAAGCCATTGTTAAAGATGAAACTTGTATTCTCACCACTCGCTGTCACAAGTAAAAAAAAACACCATAGCCACAAGCTTCACAGACATATCTGCGTCAAGATCAAGTTTTCTGCTATCTGTATCTTTGATTGTTATACATGCAGAGACAGAGGCTCTCCTTTTTGGAGGCGATGGTTAAGACTCTTGAGAAGATTCTTTTTGACTCGTTCTTCTTAATTTAATTGTCTCTCTCTGTTTGCAAGGAGGTCGGAGCAGAAGAACTTATTAATACAGGGCACGCAAATCATCCAATGAATGATCATGATGGAGGGATCAAGGGCCCCATAATTTACAGCCATCCCATTCGTTCCACCAAACAAACAAGTCATTCCACTTCCACCCGGCGAGTCTATGAAATTAATATGATTGCGCTGGTCCAAGTTTTATGCCTTTGTTTAAAAATAATTTGTTGTCATAACATAATGACTGATAGCTGCTCCTTCATACAATATAGATATTGTTTAATGGGAAAATGCTTAGAGAAAAAAAATTTGAATCCAAGCAATTAACACTCAAAATGATAAGAAAGAAAGTAAAGTATGAACTGACATTTTAAAAATATTATGAAATTATCCATGTGTCTTTTTGTGACAAAAAAGTTATGAAACTTGTTATTTTCAGTTTAATATTTACTATTGTCAGTTTAATACTTGTTATTATCTTAATGTAAAAATCGTGTAATACTTCTAAGGGTCCTTAAAATAAAAGAGGGAATTGAGGCTTTGAATACGGATAATTGCTTTGTCAAAGTATGGGAATTTACGGTTCATAGATCCCCTACCGTATCAAATGCTCCTCTCGTTCTATTTTAAAGTTATTTCCATGATGATCATGTTTTATCAGAATTTAAAAAATGTTTAAATCACATTAATTTTTTCGAAATTTAATAAATTTTCAAATTGACCCCTATTTAATATATGTATCTAAGAAAATAACAAATACATACAATAAAAGTTAAAACAACACATATTCTAAAATGACTTATAAATTGACTAAAATTTTTTCTCTCTATGCTATAAATAAGATTAGAATAGTAATTTAAATCGAAGATGCCTTGTCCACACCACACGTCTAATGCATTTTCTTTAAGGTCATTCATCATCTCAGGAGCGATAATAGTTATCCTCTTGAATATGTAGCTTTTATTTAAGCAAATGCAGCAATGGGGAGATCTAATTTAATTTATAAGAAATAAATGATGCTTCTGCAATCTTATTTATAAGTTACTCATAACATTCAATATCTATAAAAATCTTAAATATCACATTCGATGTTAGAAAGAGTCACACGAGTTTGAATAGTTCGTGAAGTGAGGCCTACCCTATCTAAAGTTTTTTTTTATTAAAGCATAGGTATCTTCTTATTGGAGATAATTTTATTTAAGGTACTGTTGGGCACCTCTCTCTGTGAGGCTTTGAATTTTGATTTATTACGTTATGAGATATTAACTTTTTGTTGCTAAACTCAGTCTTGATGGTATCTCATTCATTTTACAGATGAAATTGGAGAGAATTGAGGTCCAACCACCCCATTGGCCCATATTGTTGCTCTGTTGGGTCAACTGGACTGAATAGTGAGACAAAAACTATTCTAGTACTGCCGGTGTTTTAATTGACGAACAAATATGTCTGTAAAATTGTGATGTGACTTATTAAATATTGACGGGAGCGTTTTCTAATTTAGTTGGGATGGACTATCAGATATGTGAAACTGGTGCTGGTAGGTTCTTCTAATTAAGAGCTCCTTGAATTTGGTTGTGATGACTGATTCTAGCATACTCAATATTGCAGTGTCCTTGAAAATTACTTTGATTTGATTTGTTCCCTTCAATTTATGGCAACCATGTACATTTCTATTAGTATTCATATCATAACGGTATGGTGAAAAAATGCACTTCATCTTTCTTCCTAATAGTTTAGGTGAGTTGAGTCCTAATAACTTATTAAGGTCAAAGTATGTCTCTAAATTCAAAAAATATTAATAGAAATATTTATAGATTGCCTGTTAAAAAAGTTCCCATATTGGTAGTTTGATTTAAACTTATAACTTTGTGACTCAGGGATTGATCTCCTTATCAACTGGATCAATTTTGTTTAAAAAAAAAAAAGAGGACACTTTATTGACATTGGACTTAAATTCTAAGATATAATATTTAGCATTATATAGAGATTGATGACTTGAGAGGCATAGGGATCAATTCCATTTGTACCTATATCCAGAAAAGATAATACTTCTACGCCTGTAGAACTGTGAATCATAACATATTTCCAAGGCGTATACATCACCCCTAACAAAACATATCTAGCACAGATAGCAAAGATAACAAGGCATACTTAAAGCATCCAAGCTCAGGACTATACTGTACTTACCGGACAAATATATGTGTTTTCTTAGGAAATCAATGAGGTCCGGGCAGGATCGAACGGGATATTGAAGTGTGAGAGAAATAGGCATCCATCTCTTTGTTGCTCTCAAATACAAGTGCGGAAATAGAAGAAGAGATTAGCGATGAGAAATCAGGCAAAGGCACATCCAATCTTGGCCTATTCTTAGCCCTATAATTTGAGCACAAAAGCCCTAGTTTCAACACTAATTCCACCTCCTCTACGTTACAGTCCATTCCTAAATTTGGATCCTTCGCCTCAGCAATCTCACTCCTCTTCCACAAGGCATAAACCCAATCCGCCAAAACCATATCTTCACTTGCTAGGTCTATAGGCCTTCTTCCGCATACAACCTCAAGTATAAAAATACCGAAAGCAAAAACATCAGACTTTGTGAGTGATCTCTGAAATGCCATCCATAGTTAAATGAGACGATTGGAAGCCATTGTTAAAGATGAAACTTGTGTCCTCCCCACTTGCTGTCACCAGCAAAAACACTATAGCCACAAGCTTCACAGACATATCTGCCTTAAAATCAAGTTTTTGGCTATCTGTATCTTTGATTATTATCCATGCAGAAACAGAGCTTCTCCTTTTTGTAGGCGATGGTTAAGATTCTTGAGAAGATTCTTCTGACTCTTCCTTACTTTAGTTGTTTCTCTCCATTTGCAAGGAGGGGGAGCAGAAGAACTTAAAACTGCAATTCCAAGTTGCGAACAGGGCAGTATGGTCTTGAGATTGGAGTGCATCTCATTCCTTGATCCGCTCTGCGGAGGCACGCAAATGATTCAATGAACCACCACGATCTCATCTTACTGCGGCAAAATTCTTATGAAATGCATGAATGCAGCATTTTCCAATTGGATTGAAATACAGGAATATAGTAGTGCCTCGAGTTAGATAAGGGTTTATTTTCATCTTGAATATAATATATTAATCTAATTTACTTTTCAAATTTATAATTATTTGTTCAAAATATCCATATTGATTTCACATATTAAGAGCTCCAAATTAAAGGTCATTTTAATCTAGGTAATTAAACGGAAGGTTGTATTATATCAATAGAATAATTTTTTTTGTAACTATTAAATTTATTTTTATTTCAAAATAATACTACCTCCATTAGTTAATATAGAAGTTATATAATTAATTTAGACACATTAATAAAAGTGGTTAAGTTGATTATTACAAAAAATATGTATTAACTTTTTAAACTATTCTCATTAATATCAAATCAGCTAGACTATTATTTAAATTAAAATTTTTTTATTCTTTTTCAAAGAAAAAGAAATCTTGCATCCGCAATCCCAACTCTCAAACAACATAAAAGAAAATAAAAACCTTAAGTTAGGTAGTTTATTTCATTTATTCAGCTTTCTATGTTACCTCTCTTGTGTGCCTTTGTTGTTGTTCAAAAATAAAATGAATTAAAATATTATATTTAAAATTTAAATTATTTAATTAGATTTTATATTAATAGCTAAACATATATATATTCACTCAAAATAAATATAAACATAAATAATGAGGGAAACCAGTTTTGATACGCACTAAGCTTATCAAATCTAGACCGTCTATATTTAATTTGAACAGTCTAGATTTAAATTTTTAATTATTTATTTTTAAATAGAAAAAACTATTTTTTGAAAGAATAATGGTTAGATTATCATTTTTTTTATATTCTATACATATTAAAATAATTATTTTAAATAAAAAATAAAAAATTTAAATTTAAACTAACCAAATAAAATATGAATAATTCAGATATAATAAGTATAAATGTCTAAAACTGGTTCTAATGATGAGGAGGGATGAGAGGCCCACAACTCGCATCCGTCCCATCCGTTCCAGCAAACAGGTCAGGGACTTTGAATGCGCCGGTCCAAGTGGGAGGAAGTCATTCTAGGAATATATCATACAATGCAGTTAAAACTAGTTAAATGTTTTAAAAAATTTTCTCAATAAAAATTATTAATTATAAAAGGATTTTCATTACTACTGATCCTTTTCTTTTTTTGTTGTAATTTATCCACCTATTTTTTTTAATAAATTTCTGAACTAATATTTTAGATCAATTTATTTATTTTTCTGTCACAAATTTTTTATCTCATGCATTTTAGTCTTTGAAAGATATTAGGAAAATTAGATAAAAATCTCTCACTAAAAATTTTTCTAGTAAAAAGGATTTGATAAATTTTTTTTAAAAAAAAGTATTAGTATTTTGCAAATGTTGTTCATATGCAGAGTATTGGTGCTCTCATTATTAAAGTCTTTCTCACTAATAAGATTATTAATAGAGGGACCTTTTTCCCATTTTCTCAAGTTATTTTTCTTTGCCAGCACTTAAGATTACAACTTAAAAGGTCTAGCTTGGTTTGAGTATTATTTTGATGTCAAGGTCGTGTAATAATTCCAAGGGTCCTTAAATGATACTCATTTCTTAGGACCTAATTATTGAATTAATTTTGATTCTAAATATAAGACTTATTTATCATACTTATCAATTTTTTTTTCTAAATTATCCATATAGATAGTAGGAGAGAGAGAGGGGATATTAAAGAAAATAATTATAGTGTTTTTTCTAAAATATGTCATATTTTTTATAAGTAACTAATTTATCTAACTTCTTTAATTTAATCAAATTAGTTAAATATGTCTTATATTAAGAATTGAAAAAGTATAATGCATTTTAGACTTTTAGTGCCACCTTCCTAGCTGCCGTGTGGAAAACAAAACAGGAAATTGATGTTTTGAATTTGGATAATTTCTCAGGTCAAAATATGGGGATTTTCGAGCTATCAAATCCTCCTCTCATCCTATTTTTAAATTAAAAAAACTCAATCTCATTAATTTTGTTTTAAAATTTCATAACTTTTCAAATTTACTTCTATTTAATTAAAAAAGTTTTCTCTCTACTCTATATAGGATTAAGGTAGTAATTTAGATCAAAGATGCTTTGTCCGCACCATATCTAATGTGTTTTTTTAAAAGTTACTCCTCTGATCTTATTTATAGGGTAAAAAGAATTTTTTTTAGTCCTATTTATAAGTTATTTCATTAAATTTTTATCATAAATGTATCATATTGTTCTTTATTTATTATAGTGTAGATATTTTTTTTTTGAAAAGTGTATATATTAAATAGGGATAAAATTGAAAAGTTGCTATATTTTAATGAAAAGTTAATGCAATTTAAGATTTTTTTTAATTTATGTAAAATATATTAAAAGTGTTTTATAAATAAAATTACAAGAGGATTCATCATCTCAGGAGCGATATTAAGTTGAATATGGGGTTTTTAACCAAATGCAACAATGGGGAGATCTAATTCAATTTATAAGAAATAAATGATTCCTAAGTCACTAATCTCAATGAAGGAAGGAGCTTTTACGCCCAGGAGAAAAAGACAAAAAGACTCCAGGTAAAAAAAAAAAAAAAAGGAAAAAAAGAAGAAAAAGACGCATTTTAGGTGTTCGTCAAGTGAGTAGGGCCCACCCTGTCTTACATTTTATTCCACAGCACATGGAGAGAAATTGAGGCCCTGGTCTCCATCGCCCCATTGACCCATAATCTCGCTCTGTTGGGTCAACTGAACCGAACAGTGAGAGGAAAATGATACTACTACCCGCTTAATATAAAAACTAATTACTCCTCTAATCTTAAATATAATTTTTTTTTGTAGTGTAATTTATACTATAAAAAAATTCTTATATTTAGAATCGAAAGAATAATTAATTTGAATAGACTAAGAAAATTAATTAAATTTTTTTATTTATAATAAATAGATATTGTCTTTCATAATATGTTCTTACTAATCAAGTTTATTGGCTAGAATTATTATTATTACAAAGACCACTTAGGAAAAAAAATAAATATAAAAGATAAAGTGAATTAAGTTCTTATAATTAGAATAAAAATAAAATTCAAATAAGTTTTTATGTTATGGACCGGAAGTAGTATTTCTTTGTTCATAATATGAAAACTAATTGGGGGGGTTTGATAAAGAGAGCAAGGTATTGATGAATGGCATATAATGGACTTAATTCCAAAAATAGAGTACAGGCCGGTGTCTATGTATACACTGTCATGCCTCCGCAAATCAAATTTGTAGAACCCAATTTCAGTCTCAACAGATAGTGTAGCCGAATTACTCCCTAGTTTGGCTGTGTTTTAATTAATTAACATGGAGAAAAAGAGGTTAACATGCGAAGTTCTTTTCTTTTTTCACGTTCAAGTGATTATTAATGCAAACTTTTGGAAACACCTGACGTGAAAAATATTGTTTTTCAGTTGTAATTTTAAACTGTTAGATTCTAATTTAATACTCCTCTAGTTTTAAATATAAAACCCCTTTTGTAGTGTAATTTACACTACAAAAATAGTCTTATATTTAGAATCGAGCATTATAGAGAGAGATTGATGACTTTAGAGACGACAGGGATGAATTCCATTTTGTACCAATATCTAAAAAAGATAAATTTGCTGTCAGAACTGTTAATTCATAACATATTTAATTACAGGGCATATAAATCACCAATTAGAAAACATACATATCAAGCACAGAGATGAAAGCACAACCAGACAAACCCAATGCAACCAAACTCAGGACAATACTGTATCCATTGGACAGATACATGTCTTCTTGGGAAATCAACGATGTCCGGAAAGGCTCGATTCCAGAATTGAAGTGGAAGAGAAGTAGGCATCAAACTCTCTATCACTCCCAAATGCAGAAAGAGAAGGAGATGAGATTAGCGATGAGAAATCAGGCAAAGGCACATCCCTATTCAAGTACTGCACAACTTGATGCATGCTTGGCCTATTCTTAACCCTATAACTTGAGCACAAAAGTCCTAGTTTCAACACTAGCTCTACCTCCTCAGGGTTATAGTCCATTCCTAAATTTGTATCCTTCACCTCAACAATCTCACCCCTTTTCCATAATGCATAAACCCAATCCATCAAAACCATATCTTCAGCTATCGGTTCTAGAGGCCTTTTCCCACTTACAACCTCCAGCATAAAAATACCGAAAGCGAAAACATCAGACATTGTGGTGGCTCTATTAGTTCTTATGGTCTCTGGGGCCAGATATCCCTTGGTCCCGACGAGATGTGTAGTTGCAGGATCAGTTCCATGATCATACAATCTTGCTAGACCAAAATCTCCTAACTTTCCATTGAACTCAGAATCTAGCAGAACATTGCTTGCTTTTACGTCTCTATGTAGTACTACTTGCTCCCATTCATGGTGCAGATAACACAATCCTAAAGCTACACCTTTGATGATTCGAAATCTTTGGATCCAATTTAGTGTCACACTAGGTTGGTTAAAGAGGTATTTATCTAAGCTTCCATTTGGCATGAACTCATAGACTAAAAGAAGCTCACCTTTTCGCCTCCAATATCCCAAAAGAGATGCGAGGTTTCGGTGGCGAAGGCGACCAATGCTCACAATTTCTGCAATGAATTCCTTCATGCCTTGTTGGGACCCATGGGATACTTTCTTCACAGCAACCTCAATTTTCGTGGATGGCATTGTCCCTTTGTACACCTTTCCAAATCCACCACAACCCAGAACCTCCGTATCTCTGAATCCATTTGTGGCAGTATAAAGATCTTTATATTTGAACCTGTGAGGACCATAGTTTTCCTCCCACTGTTCAACAATCTCACAAAATTTCCTTTTCCTATATATGTAATAAATGATCGATAAAATCGCCAAAAAAAATAAACATAGTGAAAACAGAGGTAACACAATTGTAAAAATCATAGATTGTTTTTTTCCTTCATCAAGTCGTGGTAGCTTTGGGAGTTTCGAACTGTCAAGGTTTTGAGCCTTCCCATTGAGCTTGAAGCTCCAACCAAGAACATAATGAGTACTCCTTATTGGCCCAGTGGAAGCTGAGAATCCTACATAACTAGGATTGTCTATAATATGAGAAAGATCCCGAGACAACTTCAATAGTGGGGTTACGGGCTTGTTAATGTTGATTGGAGCTAGGGTGACATCAATTTGCTTCTTGCCTCCATCGTAGTCCACCCACACTTGCATCGGCAGGCCACTGATAAGGCTCAAATTATGAAACTGAAACCCATTAACGTAATATCCAGCGGAAGCAGATTCTGTTGAATTCAAGCCATTAATATCAATCCCGACATGGTTATCATTGATATCACCGAACTCAGCGTTCTGAATGGTGTCGAGTTCCACTGCGAACACATGGTTTGTTGGGTCACCGTTGCGGGTATTATTGAAGAGGCCTAGGTACTGAGCGGGAAGAGCACCTGGAAATCCTTTCGTTGGAGATACTGCAAAAGCCAATCCATCCCCACTTAGAGTAGGATATTCATGTCGAATGGCGAAAACAAAAGTGGTAGAAAAAGAAGAAGTGTTTGTGAAATCTATTGGATGTGGGTAGAAAGCACGGCCTGTTGGTTGCCTGGTTTCATCGCTGAGCTGGAGGAGGCCACTGGAAGTGATGGAATAACTACCATCCAAGATTATAGATTGGAAGCCATAATTAAAGATGAAACTCGTATCAAATCCACTCACTTGCACCATTGTTGTCACCAACAAAAGGACCAACGCCGTAGTAAGCTTCACAAACATAGCTTTGTCTCAAAATCAGCAGTGTCTTCTGTTAATTGTCTCCTCTACTATCGGCATCTTCATTAAATATATACACAATAATCTCGCATTCCGTGCTCAGCACTCCATCCCCCCTTTTTTTTGTCCCTCCTTATTCATCACAAAAAAAAATACTACCTGCGGTTCTTAATAATGGAACATATCTTAAAAAAATACTTCAGCGTGTTAGATGAAATACAATATTTTAAGATAATAAATATACCTGAAAAATATTTTAAAATACTAGATAAAAATTAAACCAAAAATAATTTTAATGCACATATACTTTTTAATAAGGAAGATAAAAAAGGAGAAAAAGCCCAAAAAAATAAAAATAAAGTCCCACACTGCTCAGCACTCAAAACATGTTTTGAGTGTTGAGCATGCCATGTTCATCCGGTTCAGAACCTCTCTTCTTTTCTTTCCATCCTTTTTCCTCCTCTTTTTTGTTTTTCGATTTTATTTTTCACAAACTATTTATAAAAAAATTTTAAAAACATTTAGTGCACTTACAAATCATTGAAATTAAATATTAATATAGTTTATAATTTATAATTTATTTATTTTTATAATTTACTATTTTAATAGCAGTTTTAAAAATGAATCTTAAACTATTAAAATATTAATCTAACTGTTAAAAAAATTAAGAAAAGAAAAGGAGAGGTTCCAAATGGGTGCTCCTCAGGCTCATGAGGGCGGAACGCGGACGCGTTACTGAAGGTGAAGATTCAACTTTTAATTAACTCACTAGAAAGTAGAATCTTGCTGACTAGTGAAACCGGCCTTGATTGATGCCATCTCCAACGGCGGCTTTATTTTTCCCTCACCCGGCTATTGAAAAAAATAAAATAAGGATCTTCCACCGTGATGCAGTCGTATCAAACCGTAAAAATCTTAAAAAGTCTATCTTATTCAGTGGAAGGCCCCTTTTTTTTTTTCCATAGATCCATAATCACACAGATGGAGAGAAAAATAAAATACCGAGGAGTTTTAGTAGGTTCCGTATGTCAAGTGAGGTCCACTCTGCCTCACATTCATTCAGTCACCTAGAGGTGAGTATTTGGCTTTTCGGTTCGATTATTGGTGATAACCGAATTAACCGAATAACCTAATAGAGTAAATTTTAAACACTGAACCGAAACTGATAATCGAACTAACCGAAACTGAATTAATCGAAATATTTCGGTTCGGTTAACCGATTAACCGAAATTATAAATATGAAAGTGATTTTAAATTAATAATAATAATAAAACACAATTAAAACCATTAATTATTAAATATTTCATCGTTGTGATTTATTATAATAATATTTATTATAACCATGTTTATTAAATATAAATATATTTAAAGAGTTTAGATAAACCCACACATATATTTATTATAATAATATTTATTAAATATAAATATATAATATATTTATTTCGGTTTTTCGGTTATAATTGAAATTTTTTTCTATTAACTGAACCGAAAACCGAAACCGAATTATTACAAAAATAAAACCGAATATGTAACCGAAAACTGAAATAACCGAACCGAAAAACCAAAATTAAATTAGGTTCGGTTCGGTTTTCGGTTACGGTTTGGTTTTGCTCACTCCTACCGTCACCCCATTGGCTCGTATGGTCGCTCTGTTAGGTCAACACATGCAATGGCCCTGACAAGTTCATCCCATTCAATCAGAGAAAGCCAACAAAATTGGGAGACTTTGACCAAGTCAGGCATAAGTCAGGCATTCCACCAGCTAAGAGAGCAAAGAATTAAGGGAACGTTAGATATCGTTCATTTTGGATAGGATTTTTGTGATTTACAAGCCTTTCCATTTTTAGCAAATCTTCCGTTATCACAATTCCTTTATTGATATAATCAGATCATTATAAAATATTTTTATGCCACACCACATATTATATACGTATGGTGTGTGACATTTATCAAGCACACAAAATCAAAGCATAACAAGACAAACATAATGACACCAATATAATATCCATCGGGCAAATGCATGTGTCTTCTTCGGTAATCAACGAGGTTCGGAAAGGATCGATTCGGGCAACGAACTGAACGAAGTGCGAGAGAAATAGGCATCATCAGACTCAATATCACTCTCCAATACGGGATAGGGCTGTGGGCTGCCCCTCATCTTGGCCGTTGATATTCACCACTCGCTGCCACCAGCAAACACACCATAGCCACAAGCTTCGCAGACATTTCTGCCTCAAAATCAACGTCTCTTATCTCTTCCAAGCTCTCTACTATCTGTATTTTTATTATAGTAGTATATACAGAATCAGAGTTTCTGCTTTTTGTAGGAGATGGTTTAAGGGCAAGAAAGAATAGGCTGGCTTTGGTCCATTCATTATTAAGATTCTTGGTAAGAATTTTTTTGACTTGATCTGCTGTCTGCGGGGCCCGCAAATTATTTGCCTCCTATTAACAAATATTACCTCCAGTTTTAATTACAAGACCTTATTTGTAATTTATAAACAAGATTTTATAATTAGGACCCGGTTAGTAATTAGTTATTGGCAAACTATTTTATATTTGAAATGGAGTGATAATAACGAAAATATATCACGTATATGGTTTTCTATGTAAATTTAATTAAAGCATGTGATCATTCACAAGATGTACAATAAGGGATCCATTCTCCCCACATGGCGATACGAACTGTATTTTAATATCATAATTCATTGCTTCAATGTATTTTTTTCCCCAAAATCTGATGATATTTTTTTTCAAACTACATTCAATGTTTTATTTATTTTTTGATGATAAATAGCGGGAGCAACTGATGGTGAGCAAGTTAATTAAGTTACGATTTATGTTGGGTTTCGTATCTCTTTTATTTCATCATTACTATTTATTAGTACTACTAATACTTCTAAAGGTTCTATCTTTTCCAATTAAATTCTATTTTTTTAACAAAAATTATCCTCACGACGTAATCCTTTTAATTCCACTTTTTTTTCATATGTGCATAATCTTTTTAGTTTAAGACTTGAACGTTCTTCTTAATAAATATTCCATTGTTTTGAATGCAGAGTTAGCCATCCATATATGTTAGTTTCTCTATGGACATGCTTATTAGAGACTTCCCAATCTCTCGTTACTGTTGTATTTTGTATGAGGGATTTAGGGGGAGGGGAGGGAGTGTTTGCAACCTGATTTTTTCAAGTCCGCATATGAGTTTTTCTTCGCAAGTTCGGTTGGTCCAATGTCCTATTCATGTCCTGCTTTAGGGGGGAGAGAGATTTATCGCATCGACTTTTCGGCAAACACGATCACAAATATTTACTAATAAAGATTCTAAGAAGAATTATAATGAGGCCCTAAACAAGAAAAACAATTAAAAAACAAGTTCCACAAGTTGTCATTCTGACTACAGGATTTGTAATTCTCACTATAGGTTGTTATTGAGACTTTTTGATAATTATTTTTCTTTTGTGGGACTTGATTGTAATTCCTCCAAGATTCATCCGCTTCTATTGTTTGCGTTCCATAACATCCAGTCTTCCAAGGAGGGAAATGAAAACTGCTTTCATTCCAAATTCCAAATATAATTATAACCTGACTTAATAGAGAAATTAAAATGATATAATTGACACAAAACTTTGTTTCTTCTTTTTCTTTCAATTTTTTTTCTTGTTTTTGTTTTTGGGTGGACTAGTTTCGCAATTAATGCCTAAACTCTAAGGTCCCACTTAATAGGAAGTATTGAGAATAAAAATAAGTATTGGGATTGCTGTTGAGAAAAACTATTAAAGACTGTTTAGTATAAGTAATTTTTTGTTATACGGGATTGTTTTAATCTTGTGTAGGTGGGATTGGGAAATACAACCTCTTCATTCCCTAATCCCATAGATATAAGTTTACCTAATCTCAAGTAATAGGTAATTTCTCATGTTAACACTCTTTTAACATAATTTTTTTTTTTAAATTCTAATATCAAGTCTTATTCTTTATTTTTAATACTTCGTACTCAATAAGACCTAATGTTTCATTTGATATGAAGTACTCCTCTGGTTCTTAACGTAAGACCCATTTAACTAATTTGATTAGATTAAGGAAGTGAGGTAAGTTAGTTAATTATAAAAAAAGTGACACATTTTTCTTAAAACACCATAATCATCTTTTTTAATACCTCCTCTCCCTCTTCTATTTGATTATGGTTGAAGGAGTATCTATAGGGGTAATTTAGAGAAAATTGATAAATATGATAAATGGGTCTTATATTTAGAACCAAAACCAATTCAAGAATTGGGTCCTATATTAAGGACCGAAGGAGTATTAAGAATGAGATGTAAAGATCGGAATTGAGATTGAGAAAACATATTAAAATAATATTTAGTATAAGTGATTGTTTGTTATTTGAGATTAGGTAAACCCATATTGGTAGCATTAGAGAATATCTCCCCCCATGATATTCCCTAGTTCCACCTATATGGGTTTACTCAATCATAAATAACAAACAATCCCTATACTAAACAATAATTTCAATCTCAATTTTTACCTCTCATTCCCATGTTTCATACCAAACCAGAACCAAGATTTAGGATGGGAGGGATGGGAGGGATTGGAGTTTTAACCTATTGATGTCCCGTTTGAGGCTGACTATCAACTGTTAATCAACTGGGTCAACTAAAAGAACCAAACTCCATATTGGAGGTGTGAGATCATCCTCAAGAACATCACATACTTGAGGAAATTTTTAAGGAATCATCTCTGTTCTTGGATTCCTAGGGAGGCTAACTTAGCTACCAACTAGGTGGCTCAGGCTTCATTAGGGGGCGTCGGATTGGGTATAGAAGCCACCTCGCCAGTTGCTCAACATTTTATCAAAAGATGCACGAGATTCAGTGTTTGGTCTAGGCTAACCTTCTATAGTTTTGGTGTTTGTTGTGTTTTTTTTCCTATTGTTTCTCTTGTTTTTGGCTAAAGCATAGATATTCTCTCGTTAGAGATAATCCTATTTGAGATACTGTCGAGTACCAAATGTGAGCACATCTCCCAGTGGAGATTCAAACCTTAGTTTGTCATATTGTAAGGAACCAGCCCCTTTCCGCTAGAGCTAATCCCGATTTTTCTATTATTTCTGTTTCTTTAAGATTACCAGCATAACTCATGTCTTTTGGAATTTTTTTTTAAATTTATTGAATGAATGATATTTTCCGTTTGCACAAAAAGGTACAGGAGTTTGAGTTGGCTCCGCAATTCAAGTGAAGTCCACCATATCTCACATTCAATGGCACATGGACTTTGAGAGAAATTTAGCTCCAATTCACAATCAACCCATCGGCCCATTGTCCCTATGTTGGGTCAACACATCCAACCTTTTTTTTTTTTTTAAGGACTCACAACTTCATCCCTTTCAAAAAGAGAAAACCAACAAAAATGTGATTGGTTAATGGTAATTACTTTTGAGAAATTTAATTATATTTGAATTCCGTTTATTAAAGTTATTTATAGATGTATAATTACCATGAAAAAAGCATGAATTTTATAAAGTTTTTTTATAATTCCATAATCATTATTAAATTAATATAATTTAATAACAAGTGACATCAGTTTTTGAGTATACTTTTTATTTGATAATTATTAGTTAAATATAATTTTCATTTAATATTTATTGTTACAAAAAAGAGTAGATACTCGTAAGTGAATATCTGCGTTTTCAAACGCATAAACAACTCTAAAGTACGGCAAAGAATTGAAATCGCCCAAACTACTTTTACAAGTCAATTATCTAACAGATCATATGCACCTTATGAGGAATCAGCGACCTCCGGAGAGAACTGATTCCACTACTGAACATTGAGAGAAAGACTCGACATAAGATGGAAGGGACAACGTTGTAGAGTCAAAAATTCCATGGCCATTCCCAAACGACTGCCCTGGAGAAGTAGAACAAAAGCTCAAAGATGATGATATGTCGGGCAAAGGAACTTCCCAATTCAGATACTGCACAACTTGACGCATGCTTGGTCGACTCAGTGGTCTGAAATCTGAGCACAAAAGCCCCAGTTTCAACACTAACTCTACTTCTTCCGATGAATACTCTGTCCCTAAATTTGGATCCGTTGCTTCAATAATCTCACCCCTGTTCCACAACCTATAAACCGAATATGCTAAAATCACACTCTCTTCATTTACTTGCTTTATGGGCCTTCTTCCACACACAACTTCAAGTAGGAATGCACCAAAAGCAAAGACATCTGACCTTGTCGTGGCTCTCCCTGTTCTTGTCTGCTCCGGTGCCAGATAACCCAATGTCCCGACCACGTGTGTAGTTTCAGGATCACTGCCATGGTCGTATAGTCTTGCAAGCCCAAAATCTCCTAGTCTTCCATTTAATTCTGAATCTAGGAGCACATTACTTGCTTTTATGTCTCTGTGAATGACCACTTTTTCACATTCTTCATGCAGATAATGCAATCCTGAAGCAACGCCCTTGATGATTTTGAACCTCTGTGTCCAATTCAGTGTCACGCTTGGCTGGTTGTGAAGATATTTATCTAAACTTCCGTTTGGCATGAACTCATAGACTAAAAGAAGCTCTTTTTTTCGCCTGCAATATCCCAAAAGTGGTACGAGGTTTCGGTGGCGAAGACGACCAATACTAATGATTTCTGCAACAAATTCCCTCATGCCCTGTCGAGATTCATGTGAGACTTTCTTCACAGCAACCTCTACTTTTGAAGTCGGGATGGTTCCTTTGTAGACCTTGCCAAATCCACCACGGCCCAGAAGCTCCTTGTCTTTGAATCCCTTTGTGGCCACGTAGAGATCTTTGTATTTGAGCCTGTGAGCGCCATAGTCTTGCTCCCACTCTTCTTGAATCTCAGAAAACTTCACTCTCATAATGTGATGAACTATAAATAAACTCAAAAGAAAAGTCAAACATAGTGATACTAGAGGTAACCCAATCAGCAAAATCATTGATCGTTTCCTTCCGCCAAGTACCGGTAACTTCGGGAGTTCGGAAAGGACAAGGTGTTGAGCCTCCCCATTGAGCTTAAAGCTCCAGCCAAGAACATAATGAGAACTTAACACAGCACAAGTGCCGGCTGAGAATCCGACGTAACTTAGCTTGTTTATAATATGAGAAAGATCTTGAGACAACGTTAACAATGGAGTTTTGGATTTGTTAACGTTGATGGGAGCAAGGGTGACGCTAATTTGCTTCTTTCCTCCATCATAATCCACCCAGACCTGCATTGGAAGGCCACTGATAAGACTCAGATTTTGAAACCGAGACCCGTCATCATAATACCCTGGAGGAGTAGAATTGGCCGACCTCAAGCTGTTAATGTCGATTCCGACATGGTTACCATTGATATCACCAAACTCTTCGCTCAGTATGGTGTCGAACTCCACTGCGAAAACATGCCTTGTACCGTCGGCTTTGGTGTCATTGAGGAGACCTAAATACTGACTGTTTAAAGCACCTGGAAATGCTTTTGCGGGGGAAATTACAAAAGCCATTCCATGACCACTCAAAGTAGGGTATTCAGATCTAATGGCAAAAACAAAAGTAGTTGAGAAGGAAGATGAATTGGTGAAGGCTATTGGATTGGGGTAGAAAGCATGTCCCCGTTGGTCCTTCGTTCCATTTGTGACTTTGAGTAGGCCATTGGGAGTGATCTCTGAAATGCCATCCATAGTTAAATGAGCAGATTGGAAGCCACTGTTAAAGATGAAACTTGTATTCTCACCACTCGCTGTCACAAGCAAAAACACCAGAGCCACAATCTTCACAGACATATCTGCGTCAAGATAAAGTTTTCTGCTATCTGTATCTTTGATTGTTATACATGCAGAGACAGAGGTTCTCCTTTTTGTAGGCGATGGTTAAGACTCTTGTGAAGATTCTTTTTGACCCGTTCTTCTTCCTTTAATCGTGTCTCTCTGGTTGCAAGGAGGTAGGAGCAGAAGACTTATTAATACAGGGCCCGCAAATCATTCAATGAACGATCATGATGGAGGGATCAAGGGCCCCATCATTTACAGCCATCCCATTCGTTCCACCAAACAAACAAGTCATTCCACTTCCACCCGGAAGGCTATGAGATTAATATCAATGCGCTGGTCCAAGTTTTATGCGTTTGTTTAAAAATAATTTGTAGCACTGGGGAGAATAAGGTTCTGGGAATATATCATAGAATGCAGTTAAAACTAGCTTTAAAATTTTAAAATCATGCTCAATCAAATTTGTTAATTATAAAAAAATTCTTTAAATAGTAAGAACATGGTTGATTGACGCTGGCCATGAATCCATGATAATGATATAATGGGGATGAATATTCCTTCACTCTTCGTGTATAATTTATCAAAAAGTATATCTTTATTATACTTCCTCCTGTTCTTCATTTTTTTCTATGGTAAGTCTCAATCATATCGTCATAATTAATAAGAAGTGATTAATCCACTAATTTTGTTAGAAGATAATTTTTTTAAAAATTTTTTATCCATATTTAATAACCACCAATTACATAAAAAAAATCATAGAAATTCATTTTAAATAAGGATAGTAATTTTTTAAAAAAAATATAATTATTATCTTACTTGGTTACTTATAATAATGATGTGTTTTTTTTTTAAAAACTAAATTTCCTTCTCCCAAAACTTTTCCAGATGAAACTTCTCTTTTATTGACTTATGCATGGGGTAGTTATAACCTAATGATTGATAGCTGCTTCTTCATACAATATAGATATAGTTTAATGGGAAAATCCTTAGGGGAAAAAAGTCTGAATTCAAGCAGTTAACACTTCAAAATGATAAGAAAAGAAGTAAAGTCTGAACTGATATTTTAAAAATATTGTGAAATTATCCATATGTCTTTATGTGACAAAAAATTATGAAACTTGTTATTTTTAGTTTAATATTTATTATTGTCAACTTAATACTTGTCATTATTCTGGTGTAAAAGTCGTGTAATATTTCTAAGTGTCCTTAAAATAAAAGAGGAAAATTGAGGTTTTGAAATTGGATACTTATGTCAAAATATGGAAATTTACGGTTCATTGATCCCCTACGTATCAAATACTCCTCTTATTCCATTTTAAAGTTATTCCATGATGAACATGTTTTATCAGAATTTAAAAATGTTTAAATATCATTAATTTTTTTTAAACTTAATAAATTTCCAAATTGACCCCCATTTAGTATATGTATCTAAGAAAATAACAAATACATACAACAACAAATAAAGGTTAAAACAATACATTTCTCTCTATGTTATAAATAAGATTAGAATAGTAATTTAAATCAAAGATGCCTTGTCCACACATTTTTTCTACAGTTATTCATCATTCCAGGAGCGATATTAGTTATCCTCTTTAATATATGGCTTTTATTTATTTATTTTTTGACCAGCAAATATATAGCTTTTATTTAACCAAATGCAACAATGGGGAGATCTAATTTACTACCTCCGGTTCTAATTATAAGATCCTGTTTAACTTTTATTTTGATCATAAATATAAGACCTCAATTCACTTTGTCTCTCATATTTATCCACTTTTTTCAAGATAGTTCTTCTAACAATGGTAGTTCTAGCCAATACACTTGATTAATAAGGATATTTTAGGAAAGACAACACCTATTCATGACAAATAACTAACTTAACTAAGTTTTTTAATCTCCCCAAATTAGTCAAGTAGGTTTTATAATTAGGACCGGAGGTAGTAATTCATAAGAAATAAATGATGCTTCTACAATCTTATTTATAAGTTAAGTATAACATTCAGTATCTATAAAAATCTTAAATATCACATTCAATGCTACAAAGAGTCAGGCGAGTTTGAGTAGTTGGTGAAGTGAGACACACCCTATCTCAAATTCATTTTACAGCACATGAAATTGGAGAGAAATTGAGGTCCAATTTTCAACCACCCCATTGGCCCATATTATCTCTCTGTTGGGTCAACTGGACTGAATAGTAAGACAGAAACTATCCTATGTCTACCGGCATTTTAATTGACGAATAAATACGTTTGTAAAATTGTGATGCCACTTATTAAATATTGATAAGAGTATTTTCTAATTTAGTTGGGATGGATTATCAGGCATGTGAAACTGGTGCCAGTAGGTTCTTCTACTTAAGAGCTCCTTGAATTTGGTTGTGGTGACTGATTCTAGCTTACTCAATGTTGCAGTGTCCTTGAAAGTTACTTTGATTTGATTTGTCCCCTTCAATTTATGGCAACCATATACATTTCTATTGGTATTCATGTCATAACGGTACCGTGGAAAATACGCACTTTATCTTTTTGTTTTTTTTTTTAACAAACGCATTTTATCAAAGTATACCTCCAAACTCAAAAAATACTTATAAAAATATTTGTAGATTGCCTACTAAAAAAGTTCTCACATCGGTAATTAAATTCAAACTCAGAACTTTATGAGTTATGAACTAATCTTGTTACTAATTGGATCAACTTTTGTTTTTAAAAAAAACAAATTTATTGACATTGCACTTAATTCCAAAATGGGTGTACAGGCCCGGGTCTATGTATACAGCGTTCATGCCTCCACGCATCAAATTACTCCTGCTCCTTTGGCTTTTTGTTTTTAACTAGCATAGAGAATAAGAATTTAGCACGAAAATTCTTTTATTTTTTTGTTTTTTTTAGCATTTGATAAATCCTGATTTTATATTGATTTTTCATATCTTATCTGGGATTTTTATCAATTAAATTGGTTGCATCTATTATGATTAATTTGGATTAATTGTGATTGGATGAAAATATTGCTAAAAAAGACAAAAATATCATATTTTTATTATTTATTTTAACTGATTGATTTTTTTGAAAAAAAAATGATATCACAATATCTTAGATTTCATTGTAGAAAATTTAGGAGAAATTGAAGGCGGAAAAAAAGGGCTGAAACAGGACGAGCAGCGGCGGGAGATTGAGGGTCTTCCATCATCTTCTTATATATACGAAAAATCGCACACCACAGGAGCAGGCGGCACTACCACATCGCAGACTGAACATCACATATCCATCAACGCGGCACCTCACACGAGCCCATCCATTCACTACGCCACCCCCACAATCATCATCATCTTATGAAACCCAACGCCATATGCCCACCTTCATTATCAACGCCAACTTCCTCTGCATTCATCCATGGCTGCCGTGAGCGTGATATCTGCATGTGCTGGCAGTCTTCAACATCATGAGTAACTAATCCGTTCGAGCTTTTTGGAGATTGGGTTTGAGTTTCAGAATTAATTAGAAGAGTTTTTCTGTTTCAATTCTCTTAATTTATATTGAGTAATGGATTTTTTGAGTTAGAATTGATATTATTTAATTAAATTTTTTGAGGTTACTGGTTGTGATTCTTAGTTTAGAATTGAATTTTTGTGATTGGAATTGGATTTTGCAGTTTGAGATTTATATAATTATATATTCAGTTTGAAGTTCTATGTGGTTATGCTATTCTTTCATAGTTTGGATGAATTTTATAATTACATGGTACTTATTGAATATCTCAAGTTGAGTGTTCTTTGTATAGAGACCTGAATTGCATTGATTTAATCTTAGTTGCATACTAATTAGTTTTCAATGGTATTTTTAATTAGTAGTTGTAGCTAGAGTTTTAGGACATCTATTAATTAAGACTACTTAACTTAATCAGTGATTAAGGTTTTGATTTTAAATTAGTAGATAAAATAACTTCCAGATTATTTTGAGTAATTCATTTTCTAAGAAGCATTATCTCATATCTCCTTAAAATCCAAATTTTATCATTTGCTACATGTTTAATTAATTTTTTTTCACTTTCAATTTCAAATTATCTTTTCATTTTTTTTATAAAAGAAAATCCAAAAAAATTTAGAATTTTTTTTAATTTATTTTGAAAGTAGTTTTTAAAACCCAAAAAAACCCTTTTTAATAGCAATTTTGGTTCTTAGTTAACTTAGGACCTAGTTAATTTTTTAACTCCAATAAGGAAACAACTTTGGTTTGCATCATTTGTTGCATTCTAAATGTAATTTAATGTGACTCAAAACGACATCGAGGATCAGCATTCCCATATTGGGACATGAAAATTGAATAATACTGTTCTATCCCTACAAAAAAGAAAAACCTTTTTGACCAGGACGTTCAGCAACAATTTTAAACCGTTAAATTCTAAAATATAATATTAAGCATTACATAGAGATTGATGACTTGAGAGACAAAGGGATCAATTCCATTTGTACCTATTTCCAAAAAAGATAATACTTCCGTGCTTGTAGAGCTGTAAATCATAACATATTTTCAAGGTATATACATCACCCCTAACAAAACATGTCCAGCATGGATCTCAAAGATAACAAGACCTACCTGACGCAGCCAAGCTCAGGATATTTACTGAACAAACATATGTGTTTTCTTAGGAAATCAACGAGGTCCAGAAAGGATCGAATTGGATATTGAACTGTGAGAGAAATAGGCATCCATCTCTTTGTCACTCTCAAATAAAAATGCAGAAATAGAAGGAGAAGAGATAAGCGATGAGAAATCAGGCAAAGGCACATCCCTATTCAAGTACTGCACAACTTGATACATGCTTGGCCTATTCTTAGCCCACAACAGCCCTAGCTTCAACTCTAATTCTACCTCCTCTACGTTACAGGCCATTCCTAAATTTGGATCCTTCGCCTCAACAATCTCACCCCTTTTCCACAAGGCATAAACCCAATCCACCAAATCCATATCTTCACTTACTAGGTCTATAGGGTCACCCTGGGTTGGTTAAAGAGGTATTTATCTAAACTTCCATTTGGCATGAAGTCATAGACTAAAAGAAGCTCACCTCTTCGCCTGCAATATCCCAAAAGAGATACAAGGTTTCGGTGGCGAAGGCGACC